GTGCTCTTAGCAAAGTTTAAGATTCCTTCCCTATGTCATATAGTGAAGTAGTTTTCAACTAGTAAGAAGCCACACCCCCAGGGTGCCCACAAGATCCCCAAAAGGTGCCAACAAATAAAAAGTTGTGAAAGGGCGTTTGTGAAGAAAGTAGCCTGTCTACTGCTTGATGGGAATCTCTCTGATGGTGAAGCACACTGTTTTGAACTTGAATAACAATTTTTTGGGAAAGCCAATATCCAAAGGAGCCCCAAAATCTGCTCCAGGCGACCAAGTAAATTGTCTACGACAGGTCTATGAAGGCAATATAGTTTAGACTGGCTTCTTGTTTTAACCTCACACTTGTACTGAATAAGTAAAGGTAGGAGGGTGCCACAATGATATATAAATGTGTTTTGGGCAATCACAATAGAAAAACTTTGAAAACCATTGTCAATGGCTAATTGAACTACCAGTAACAGAAATAATATACACTTCAAAAATTATGTAGCCCTACAACACCACTCCAAAAAAAATTACAATCTAATGTTACCTAAATAATTCTAAAGCATATTGCTTTTGGCTCACCTTACTACAGATTAATTATATGTTGCTTAAAGCAAGCAAGTAAGGTGATCCCAAAGTCATTATAATCTAAATTTTATTTTAAAAATAAACCTTATTTTATTGGGAAGAAGTGAAAATACCTGAGGTGAAGCTTCCCTTTGATTTTTAATAATGTCCAACATTGCTTTTGTGGATTTGTTAACTTGGTAATTTGTGCATTCCTTTTTGGCCAGCTTGGCTCCTTGTTGCGAAGCAGATGTTGTAATGGGTCGCTTGAAACCATTAGGTTTGCAGCATTTATGTCCACATTTCATTTTGTCAAGACATTTGTGCTGACATTCATTACATGGATTTTCACTGCTGTTGGGCATTGTTTTTATTAAATTTCCTATTTGAAAAAAGGGACCCTTATTTGAAAGATGACATGAATTGCATTTAATTATATAGGTCCTACCATGGAAATGCATGCCCTAGAAAACCCTGCAGAGACTCAAAAATCCTGCATAAAAATCCTGTACACACACACACACACAAAATTATCCTAAATGTTATTGGTATTGTAAATCACTTATCATTGTGCAAACATAAGCAAACTTTTCCCTTGAAATTATGAATCCCAAATAGCAAGATATCTATTTTAACTTTAATCTGTAAAATAGATTGGAGGCTGTCTCTAATATCACTATTTTTACCATTAATATGGCAATGCTGTGAGGCAAGGTAAGAAAATATTTTATTACCTCTGCGAGATGTAAAAACATTTAACATCATAAGAGCCTGAACAAAGATCTGGATTGAATACTTCAAAACCCTATTTTAATGATTTAATTAACAAAATTATAACTAAAACATTTATAAAAATAAGTATTCCAGCCTACTCTTAGTTTTTTTATTTCCAATAGCTGCTTGCAGTTTGGAAGCCAGTGTTTGCGTCTGAAGAAATCATATAATTGCAAGAAGTTGTCAGTATACTTTTGATGCTTTATAAAATGTTAACCACATATGAAAAAAACATTCATATCGATTTTATACATGAGAAAAATGTTTAAGAGTTGGGCTACATCGTACATATTTTGTCTAAAATCATCTGAAATGTTAAATGAAATATAAGGTATGCTAAGCTTGAATTCATAGACAGGACAAAAGATTTGGATATTTTGGCATAGAGCCTTCACCAGCAAACAAGACAAAAAGAAGTATGACAAGTAACCAAGCACAGTAAAAAAAGATTTAGAGATTTCGTTTTGTTGCCGGAAGTAGGATTACATGAAGAAATATTAACCTGAGTACACAATAACAATCTTGGCTAGTTAAACAAATAATCAGGCATTTATCCATGATAATTGATTGTAACAAACAACACATGCTGCATGTTTTTTTATTAAAAAAGTGGCCATTAATCTACGTTTTGTCATTTTAAAATATTTGTGGCAATGTGCCACTATATAAGAGAATCCACTCGCATAGTCATAGTGTGACTGCTATGGGTAACCCCAAGCACGTACACATCCATTATCCATGGTCATTCAACGTAACACTCAGCCGTGTACTGGCCTTAAATTTTATGTAGGTTATTTAGACGCGGGAATTGGGGGGGGGGGGGGTGGCGAACTGGGACTTGAAGTGTGTACATCTTTGAGATTGTGGTGTGGAACGGATGCGTCGGGTCGATGGCAGGTGTGAGAGATTTTCCTGTCAGCTCTGTCAACGGATTGTACCTTACATTAAAAAGCTATAGTTCTCAGACCTGATTGTTTTATTGTGATTTCATTTAAACTGTAAGCTACGTCACCACACGGCTACATATTTATTTACATTTGTATTAATTTTTGTTATTGGTAAATGTCTTCCTGTATGCTACAAAGACATTCTATTAGTGGCATAGGAAAAGGGGCTGAAGAGGGGTTGTCCAACCCAGGTGACACGTTTTTCTATGTACATTTGGGGCAGCATTTTCGGCAAACTGTAGAGTTTGGGGTTTTTTGTTGAAGGGAAAGAAGGGGGAGGGGGGGGGGCAATCAAAATTCTTGGCCCACTACTGGAACAATAACTCCAGCTATGCCACTGAATTCTATAATAAAATAATTTTGAGATGAAATTATTTTTTTTAAATAAATATATTAGTTAGTCTGTTTTGAGACTATGGAACTTTAATAATGATGTAAAAACAAAACTACTGTTCCAATGTTATTAAAACTTAAAAAAGGACCCTATACCTTGGGAAGTGTTGGAGTTTTCACAAGACCAAACCAGTCATTTGAATAAATAGGATCATAATCTGTCTGAATATCAAGCCCAACTGTAAAAATCAAAATTATATTACAACAGTGAATTACTTTCTTTATTCATTTTAATAAAGACAAAAATAATTTAAACAATTTTCAACAAAATTATTAGTTTGCTATCAGATTAAGCACTTATAATATTAATTATTTTCTCAGAAATAAAAACTGTCTGTTGACACTTACACATTTTTTTTATATAACCCCTTAAATTTTGAGATAACACATTTTGTCACTTTGTGTAAAAATCCTCCATTTAACAATAATTTTTGTAAATTAGGCCCATATACTTTCATTTTAAATATTCATAGCTTGTGTTAGAAAAAAACAGTAAAAATTAAAATGACCCCCCCCCCCCCAAACGAGAAATGGCCTACTAGAGAAGGTATAGAAATTCTGCATTGAAAATAACCAAAAGTTATTCCTTTTCATAAATTATGTCATATCATGAGCTAGGTATTTGAATTCTTAAAATTAAATATTTGCCATTACTGATTGATAAGAATGTTACATATAATTCACTAATATAATGTAACGAAAATGATTCTTTATTAATCATAATTTTTTCTAATTTGGTAAACAGGGTGTGGATGGTGAGAAGGACATCGAGTGGATCATGGAGTAATTGAGACCAATGAGATGGTAGGGGAGTATGTGGCTGGTTGGCAGAGAAGGACAGGGCAGGGGTTAACCATAAAAAATGGCTTTAACAAGTCATCTAAATTCATAATTAAAAGTCTCTAAGAGATTCCCCATAGAGTGGCGAAGGTAAATTTGGATTGACGTTTTTCAGACTTTCGTATAATGCATTCAAACCCTTTTTAAAAAAAATTAAATAAAATGACTGAAGGATTACCCCAGTCTTGACTTAACAAACTGATTGTTAACTTGGTCCCACAGGCATTTCTGGTCACTTCAACAGTTTTTGACAGTGCTCCATATCTCAGTATAGGTGCATCCCTGGACAAAGAAATGCTTTATTATTTACCGTATTTATTGGCGTATAACACGCACCCCATTTTAAGAAGGAAATTTCAGGGAAAAACTTAACATTATATCGGTGTATAACACGCACACATCATTTTCCCCCTATTTTCAGGGAGAAAAGTGCGTGTTATACGCCGATAAATACGGTTATTAATTGTGTATAATAATGTTGCCATTATTTGAAAACAAACAAAAAGCTATCAAGGAGTGTTAATAAACAAAAATTTTTTTTTAATGTGTCCAATTTATATTTTGACTTTTATAAAATTCATACGAATACTACTACCCTTGGCATAAGAGCATCAGTCATTTATTTTCCAACTAATTTTCAGGAATCATTTTAGTCATAATAATTTTCTCTGTACCTATCAAACTAAATGAACACATGGAAATTTATTTTAAGCTTTCATTAATAGTAATACGTCTGAATCTTAATATATATTCAAATAAAAAAATAGATGTAGAAATATTATTAATGATTTTATTTAGGCTTGATATTAATAAATCACAAATTAATTCAGAAATGAGGAACAACTCAGGTTTTTTAACACAAATAGACTGAAAAACACTTGAAAAAGTCTTATATTCTTAACCTTTTTTAATGTTTTTATATCGACTCAGTTAACTTCTAAACTGCATATGTGCTTCACTTCATGCTAAAAATTTGCACTTACATTTTAGGGGGTGTAATTACACAGTGCAGGGTTTGGGTTTTTGTGACATGAGATGACAGTGTGAGTATATATTGTCCAAAAAGTGTAAAATTTTATGATGTTGTAAATGTCAATTTATTTTGCAAAGTAAGCCATTGTATTAATCTAAATGGGCCTCTTTCAAAAATAGAATAAACTAGAGAACATTAATTTTGATCTTGAAATAAATAAAGACTCACATGACTCGCCATTTCAAAACAATTTTGTCCTCAGCATCTCCAATAATAAGTATGGATTGATGATTGTGCTGATTGCTAGGCCTGCTCTCTAATATACAATGATTGGCCAAGTCTACATTGATCATTAACACTGCTTTGTTTGGTTTGTAGCCCTTCATCTATGAAAGAAATAATTATACATACATTATTGTGATTTGAGCTAGTTAAATGTGCATTTCAAATCTGTATAACTAAAATATTGAATTTTCAAAATAAATTTTGCTTTTGTCATGACAAATGTAAAAAATAAAATAATACAACACCTGCTCTACAGAGAGTTCATATCTTGGTAGTGCTAAAACAGCTTCTTTGATTTGATTGCCAAATGGTGGGTGTCGGTTCACTATCTAAAACAAGGCAAAATTAAATATCAAATTATATTTATAAATGGTCTAGTGGAAAAACTTGGGGTGATATGATGAAAGTTTCAGTAAGAACAGAGAATACTTAATGGGATTTGTAAAAGCAGAACATCAAAACAGCAAGAACAGAGAATACTTAATGGGATTTGTAAAAGCAGAACATCAAAACAGCAAGTAAAATACTGTAACATTAATTTAAATATTTTTAAAACATAAAAAATAACTTTACTATGTCAATTAGCTCTCGAAATTTACAACTTCAAACAAAAATTTAGCATCTTTTTTACTCCAAGATTTTTAGAATTAAAATTTACAAATGAACATTTGACTGTAAGGAATAGCTGTACCCTAAAAGCATGAAAAAGAAAGGAAAGGAAGGGAGCATAAATAAAGTGTATAACCAAATTTACGCTTCCACCCACTTCTTTACTTTACTTTTCTAATAGCTAACATGTGCAAATTAAATATTGCAAGAAAAAACATGTGTGGCGGATGGTGCGTTGTCTAGAGGTGAGGTCCCCTTTGTTATGCCACAGAAAAAATGTGTCTAGAACACCTTTCCTTCTCGCCCCTTCAGAGCTGATGTGTTGTATGTTTCAAGTAACAACAAAGAGCTGTGAAAAGATTCAGGTTTCTTTTTATTTACTGGCTTCATTTGCATGACAGTGGAGAAAACATAAGAAATAGTCACTTGTGTTCAGAACAAATAGACGTGTCCAGAAATCCTACACATATTATAACAAGAAATATACCTACACAACTCCTCGCAAAATGTACTAATCTTCTTACATCCACAACAATGGTCACTCTATACATCACACTAATTACACACACTCGTTTTCTTCATGTGGTTTGTATTCAACACACCATCACGGTCATCCGTGACTGAGAAAATTCATGGGATTAAAGGGGGAAAATTTAAAGGGGAAAAACACTAACACTCACAACCATACCCAGAACAACATGACGCGATCAGACCATGACAACATGGTGTAGTTTTGAATATTCCTTCACATTATAGTGATCACAAATTACATTTTACTCCCACCCCTCTTGCAATGGTGTGAAGGGAAATATTTCTACATTCATGTTTAAAGTTTATTAGTAACTCTTTTTCTAAAAATAATAAGAGCTAATTCCATCTCTACCTTTGGTGCTCATGTACTACAAGCTTTAAATAAATAGTACTGATAAAGAACTTATTTTCAACTTCTGAGATGCAGATATATTTCTCTCTTCCAAAATGGCCCTCCTCAATTATAAAAAAAAGAAAAAAAATTTTCATGAGTTATTTTTAAGCAGGACTTTAACTTATAGAAATATAAAAGTGTATCTTTGATAGCTGTGACAAAACGGACACATTTAAGTATTGAGGGTTTTGGTCCAATATTTTGGCTTTTATTAGGGTTGTAATCTCTAGGGATTGTCATTTTACCACAAATCTGCTAGAGGACAAGTAAGAGACCGTCTTTGTCGTTATGTGACGTACATGCTCTCTAGAGTGCACCATTGTTCATCGGCACATTTGGAGGGTTTATGGTGTCCTTTTTTTTAAAGACTTTTTCTATATATTATTCTTTAGATTCTTCCTTGGATTTTGATACTTTTTTCTTTGGCTTTGTTTACAGGACCAAATAAAGCTAAAATCCTCAAGACCTGATCTCAAGATTATAAAATAAACAAATTTAAAACTGTCCACTGTCTTATCACCATCACACTGCCAGCCACACTTGGAAACATGTCTGGATAAATATCTTAGAGTTATTAATTTGTTAATATCTTGAGGCAAGTACCAGTACCATACCAGTTCAATATCCCTTGCATTAGCCTGTTCAATTTTCTGGAAAGATGATAATCCTGAATTGGCAAGACTCAATGACATTGTTGGACCTATAAAAGAGTAAAATTAATATTGTGAGTCTGAGTAGATTCTCTTTATGAAACTTAATGAAATTAGAGGAAAAAAAATTACTAAAATTTACTGAGTTTTTTTACTGATCAATTACTATATAACTTTAAACCATCCAATCACTTATTTACCAGATGAGACATTTAAAGATATGAATTTAAGATCGAGTCATTAAATACAATTGTATAGTTTTGATTTAGAGCTATGTGTTTTTTTAGTGTGATTGGGTTTATGTAAAGGGAATTTAGAGTTAGTGGCATTATTAAATGTTTAATCATGTCCAACAAATTTTGCTGGGAATAACCAAGAATGGAAATTTTACTATAATTCATATTTAATTTTAACTTTACTAATTAATATTTAATTTTAACTATTAAAAGTAAACTTTAGGGTCTTCTTGAAATTTTACACATGGTTTTAAAAGTGTGATTGATTGGTAGTAGTTAGTTAGTCTTTTAGATGGGTTGCACCAGAATTCTCCATTATTTTAAATTTGAATCACCTTACTCAGGTTAATAAAAATACTTACCAATGCCATCCAGTTGTCGGGCCACATATCTTGAATCAAACCACAGCTTACACTTGAATGCTTTATATATAAGTATTGCATGTAATAAGGCTGAATAGCAGTTACCTTGAAAGATCAGTTCCATTAGACCTGTTCAGAAATAACAATTTTGAAGATAAACTTAATAATTTTAGTTTGTATGCTTTATCTTTGTTGATGGATATTTAAGATTTTAAATAACCCAGATTGAAGCGCACTAGTTTAAATTCTCATGAAACTTAATGGCTTCCCTGTTCATTCAAATGTATATCATATTCCAAGTAAATCTTTCTGAAATATTTAACACTTCAATATATATACATATATAAATATATGTGTGCGTGGAATTCCATGCCATGCTTTTACGAAACAGAGCGTTCACCACCCAACACTGTCTTAAAATTTGACCTATGGGTTAGGCCATCACAACATTTGCATGAACGGCTCCTCCCCCACCACTTAGAAATGAAACCACTATTTTTGCTTTTTGTATAAGTTCAATAATCTATTTCTCTGGAACCCTAGAGTATTATGCTAAAATTATATCTTGTCGGAAAGTGGATTTTATTCTCTATACCTTAGCATATTTGTAAGTCTGCATCTTTGGAGGATATTGTAATATTAAGTAATTAAGGGAGTTTTCACATTCATCCATTGGGGAGGGGGTGCTGTGCACGGCACCCACTTATTTAAAAATATCAAAGACCATTTAACTTATATAAAAATGAAAGCATATCTGAGCTGGCCGAGACAAAATGTGAACAGACACATATAAGTCTAAGGGGATTAGTCCCGGATTTTGACTTTGGGTTGGATTCTCCAAGGATTGTCAATTTACCGTGGTAAATCTGCCAGAAGTCAAGTAATAGATTTATTTTAGGCAGTATTTTAATCACTTGTTAGCTCCGTCACTTTGACTTGTAACCATGCTATTAATGTTATGATGGACCAGGAAAACTAGTCAGGATCATTCAGAGTTCTTATGAAGAAATGACATGCAGGGTGATACACCAAGGTAGACTGACAGATGCCTTTAAGGTGGAAAATGAGTCAGACAAATATATCTCTTGTCCTCCTTCCTATTCATCCTTGCCATTGACTAAATAATGAAAAAATCCAAAGACAAAAAGAGGAATGGGATAAAGTGGACACCCTGGGAACAACTGAATGACCTAGACTTTGCAGATGGCATTGTACTTCTGTACCACAACCAGTAACAAATGCAGCATAAGACTAAAGACATTGCCACCATTTCAGCACAGCTCGGACTCAATATAAATAAAAGCAAGATAAAGATCATGAAGGTAAACTCAGCCAACCAAGAACATATCTTTCTGGGAGGAAATGTATTGACAATAGAACCCTCTCAATCACAAGAACCAAAACTAAGATCATCGGTGAACGCTCCTTCTACTTCCATGGGCTCTCTTTCTGGAACCAGCTCCCCTTCCATGTCCGTCATTGTGAAACCTCGTCCACTTTTAAAAAGTCCCTTAAAACTCATCTGTTTTGACTCTGCAAACCAAATTCAGAATCTTCAACACAAATTTCGAAACTTGGAGAACAACAGCAAGCATTACGCAGAAAGTACAGACCTTCATAAACACTTACTTTAAAAAGATCCTGAGCATCAAATAGCCAAACACCATCACCAACAAAGACTTACTGGAAAGGACATATCAGGAGCCTATTAATAAAGACATAAGGAAAAGATGGAGGTGGATAGGGCACACTCTCCAAAAACCACCAAATAACATCATTAGACAATCCTCAACATGGAATCCATAGGGAAAAAGAAAGAGAGGAAGACCTAAGCATGCATGGAAACGTGAGCTAGAGGCAAAACCACAAAGTATGGGATACACCTAGAGGCAACTGGAAAGGAAAGCACAGGATCGAGATAAATGGAAATTCTTGTTGACAGCCTAAGCCCCAGATGGGGTAAAAAAAAAAGGCATAAGTAAGTAACCATGATATTGTGATGGTTGAACATACAGCCATCCACTAATTCTTACACTCACACGGAATTAGATACCAGAGTGTACTTGAACATAATACCAACCGTTATATGGCTCTGGTTACACATACTTCAATGGGCTTATAAGCTATTGATACAACAGTATCCAACCAGCAAATATATGTAAAATTTGTGTAGTAGGCTAACTATCCTGCCATGAGCTAAATTCTCACATAGGAATTGGTGCGTGTGTTATTATCAACTGTATTAAATAATTAGACATTCTACAATGCACTTTTATCTTAAAAGACACAGCGGTTAATTGATAAACTATCAAATCAATGGTTCTTATAGTTTATAACATTGAAGTAAATGTCCTGCTATGGGTGCATCTAATATAGACATCATACCTGGATAACAGTACAAATGTAATTTCTAGACCGATATGTTAACCCTCACGTCTCACAATGATTCTGAATGTAAGATGGGGTAAGTGATACAAGTTAAACCCTGCCAAGTGATTTATTTTATAATGAAACATTATTACAAGAATATAATTTTTAATGAGTATATTTTGTCAGAGCCTGTAATTACAGAGTTATGTAACCTGCTTACTGTTAGCTGTGTAATTCATTGTTAGTGTTAGGCTGAAAATTGTTAACCTGTACTATTTGCATATTTTCAGATATTTTCATTTTTTTAAAAAAATGCTTTTTCTTACGAATTGCGTAGGATTTTTGCTTCAAACTTTTACTTAGGATTTTCTTCTACTACACCATTTTATACAACACTGTAAGAACTAAATAAAGGCTTTAGTCCTCAAGACATGCATGTCTTTGAGAGTTTATAAACCCAAATATAAATACACATAAAAACACTGTCAGCTGCAGCTTCACCACTCAGCTTATTTAAAGATGAAATAACCTTTAGGATATGTGAACAAGTGGGCTTACATTTAGCCACACGCTGTCCTACTCTAAAGATTTTGGCCATATCCTGAGACAGAGAGAAGTCTTGTATAGACATACAGCTGAGCTGGGCTTGAATCAAGCTGGAGATACATGTAAAACCACAGATTAACTATCATAATTCAAAAAAAAAGCTGTGAACACTTTACAAATTAATTTGCTATTAAATATGGTAATTTAAACTAATCTAATTAATTTTAAAAATTAATATAATTACAAATACGTTGTTAGTAAAAAATCATAAAAGTTCTTACCAGTAGACTTTCATTGGTCCAGTTTTAATCTTTCCTTGCATAGGGAATCTTAAAAGGGGGTAATTCAAAATATTGTTACATGAATATAGCAGGCCAAGTGTCAAGTTAAGGAGCCGTTGCAAAAGCAAATTATTAAAGCTGACTTTTATTATTTAGCCCTTGTGAACACAATTGTCGTTGTTTTGCATCTGATTTGTAAGTTCTGTTTTAAAGAATATATTAAGAGTACAACTTCAATTTGTTAAGATATGTTATTTTTTGGTGATAAAGCTGAACCTGTCAAAGATTTTAAACACATTATAAATTTACTATTTAGTATCGGTAAAGCTTTGTAAAACCTGATAGTCTCTTTATTTTTGTCTTTGTTAAGGGAGTTGAGTATTTTCTTCTCATTGGTTCTAAGTTGGATATCTTCAAACTCAGCACAATGAGCCATTTCTTCTAGCTGATAGTGATAGGAACAAGAATTGAAAGTTTGTATTTAAAAAATTTATAGATTTTTTCTTTTTAACATGATAATTGAAAAAGTTTTTAAAATATGATAGTGACATTAAACTTTGATCCAAAGCTTTTATTTTCAAAATTATTTGTTTCCATTCTTTAAAGAAAAAATTCATTGCCTAAACATTTACCGCTAAAAATTGATTTAATATTTATAACAAGTTGATTTAATAGTAATAGCAAATACATTTTTAAATCGACAGTAATGCAAACCATTCCTCCTCTAAATGAATGTATTTGTACAAATTTACAGTTTTTAAATGTGAAAATTTAACAAAATAACAATTACAGAATGCAACAATTATAAAGAATATGAAAATCAGGCTGGAGATAACCTACCATTTCGGCAATATTTTTGTGATTTTCTCCCATCTTATGAAACTGGTTCATTGTTTTATATGCAATACAGTATCTGGCCATTAGTTTTCCAGTTCCTTAAAACGGAGATATAAAGACACTTAAATATATAATTGGGACTTTAAATTGTTTTCATAAATGAGAATTATATTAGCAAATTTAAAAAACAATTCTTTTTTTTTTATTTTATATGCTAAAAATTAGTGCAAAACTTAATTTAGTAGTCTAGTTTATTATTCATTTATTCTATTTCACAATTTCTTCATGAAAATATCATATATATTTTAAATTGCATAGAATTGACAATAAAAATAGCTGGTGATCAGAACATGTCCAATACCTGTAGGTTGAATAGTGCCAGTACTTTCATCAATGGAAACAAGATTTAAGCTTGTGAGAAGATGAAATTTTTCCAGGCAAAGATCTGACATAAAACATATTAATGACCATAAATTAAGAGTAATGACAAATTTCTATATGATTACAAGCCAGGAATAAAACTGTCCTATTGTGAAAATCCCCAAAAGATTCTGAAAATATAAGCATTTTATTTTCTACCAAATCTATTTGGTGCAGTCGATCACATTCGTTTGTTTGCAAGCAGGGTAATTTTCCACAGCTTGAAAGCTTATACTTATAGACCATTTCTTCTGTAGGATCAATATGGACTCAGTGCTGAAACCATCACATCTAGTCCTAATGGTGAAAATAAACAATACTCTTCTTTCAGAATGTAAGTAAATCCAGGGAAAATGTACATTTCTAATTGAACATTAAAATGATATTTTTGTTTTGGCACAGAGTTATATAATTTGTACTAGATATCCTGTAACAGGATTTTAATTTTAATAGTTATTTTGACATGCTTTCTTTTTTAGGTTATTAGCCTTTGAGAAAATCTAAATTTTCAACTCATTAAAGAAAGTGACACCAAAAGATATCAATGTGTCATGACCAAAACTATGCATCCTAATATCAACACTCCTCACCCAAGTTAAATTGATTAACATTTATATAGAATTAAAGCCCACAATTTGTCAAATCTGTAAGTTTTATATCACGGCACACTTGAAACCGAAACAATGTTACACACGAAAAAATTTTCAAATCTTTTTCAGAGCACTGACCTTGCTACTTGATGCTAAATTGTGTGTTTCCATTTTCTGTATTGCCGTAAACTGACTTATGTAACCATGAAATCTTGGTAATACTACAGGGTATTACATACTATTAGATAGTATGACTTGCTCAGTTTTGAACTAACATCTGTTGCATGACCTTTGTCATGTCAGACATCAAAATTAAAAACAAAATATGTTAAAATCCAATACCTCATCTCATATAATATATAATGTATTTTTTCATTTATCTGGCTTCCTGTCTGGAACCTACCTATAAGCTTTTTCTCCACTTCCCTCTTTTCCATATTTGAAGGAAGCCCTAATAATATAATATAGTTTCATGAATTTAGTAAATGTTGCCTTAAAAGAAAAAAAAAATATTTCAAATTAACTAAATAACAAAAGATAAACAGAGAGAGAAAAAACTTTTTAAGGAGTTCTTTACATACAATGTCATATAGTTAGAGTGGGGGAGATGGTGGGGGCACACTCAATTTATTTTGTGACGTTGTTTTATTGGATTTGGGGGTGGGAAAAGATAAGGAGATTGGCATTTTAATAATTGTCATTATAAAGAAAAGAAAATGTTGAAGATTAACTATGATTTTACATTATAATTGTATATTTACAACTCTTGTAGTTATACTGATTCAGATACTAAAAAACTGTCAGAGAAGAGAGAGGAGCAATCTTAATGTCAGCAATGCCAACAGTCTCAACTCTACACAGCAGCAATGGAGCTTACCATAATTTCTTGGATTCTTTAGAGCCCTGACATAAAGAAAAGTATGTCTCAACCATTCTATCACATGACTTATCTCACTGATAGTTCCTAGAACTATTTCAGCATTTAGGTGTTCAATTAGATGCTTGTGAAGACTGAAATAGCAGTGACCATTCACAAATTCATATACTTACAACCAGGAAATATAATTAGGCATACATACACATATGTTAGTTCAAATATAACAAGCTTTTATTATTATTCTAAAATAAATATTTAAAATCATGTTTCAAAAGTCCTAACCTAAAAAATACATAAGCTACTTTGTGACAGATGGGACACTTTCTATCATTTTTTAAGCATGCAGAGTGTCTAAAAATGTAATGGGATGCAGAAGAGGGGGAAAAGGGCATAAAAATGGAATATCTGTATGTATACAATATATGGTTGTTCCTCTCATAACTTTGAAATATCAACGAACTTGTTTTCCCAGAGGTATTTACTTTTGTAAACATTTGTCTCAAATATCATTTTAATAGATAATTTAATATCAAAAGTTTATTTTTAAAACAAATTTAAAAAACAACTCAAATGGGGAAAACAGAATTACCTGCTTTCTATCAGTTGAGTACCATTCACAAGGGATTCATATTTCGTCTGAAAATACATTACAGTATTTAAACTGTCATTTTTGTAATTTTAAAAAAAGGTGACTGCAAACAGTTTTAAGACATTTTTCTTTCTGAGTAAGTGTTAGGGATAATTTTTGTAAAAACTACAAGTAGAAATCAAAATTATACCTTGAGATGACTTTTTGTCATAATAACAGCTGTTGCTGATATGTCAAACTGAAATACGATGCAGAACAATTTTAATGCATTTAATTTGTTTTCTTGTTTATTTATGCAAAGTCTTTCATTTTGATTATGTAAGAAGATAAGCTACACAAACATAACTTTTTTATTTGATAAGGAGAATATTTGTTAATTATAAAATTTGTATAAATTACAAGTTAAATTCTTTTTGATTTTTCAAAATTTCAAATTTTAATATCATAATTATTTCTAATTCAAATCATGATTTTATTTTTCATTTTGTAAAATTTTATTTGATAGGACCTGTGGTCGCCCAGCACGACCCATCATCTGTAGAATTTGCATGTCAGAATACTCTTGAACTGCACCCAGATTGTAAAAATGTGTGGACTTGATAACAACTAAATGTGCAGGAAGATTAACACCCATAGCCAGAGTACTAGTTGAAACTGAAATATACAATTAGATCATATTAATATAAATATAAATGTTTCAAATAGATGTAAAATTTAAAATTGACAATATAGACTGAAATAGCTCTAATATATAATGTTGATGTGGGTTGGCCAGGAAGGCCCACTGAGCGCTTGACAAATTACAAAGTATTTTAAAAAGACTGAACGTCTTAGTTCTAATAAATGTGCTGAAGTTAAGGAAGGTTTAAAAAAGTAATATGGACATAAAAGGTTATTGTGAAATACAATAATAATTTTCTTAATTTCAAAGAATGAATATGGATGGAGTATAGGAACCAACAAGGAATTCTTTGAACTATACCAGGATCCCATGCTAGTAGGGAAATAAATAAGGGCAGCCTGCACTGGGCTGGACACTTAAAAAAGAATTCAAAATAACAGAGGAGTGAAGAGGGTACACCACAAAAAAAACACTGAGGAAACGACTCAAAGGCAGACCTAGCTTCAGATGGATGGATGATGTGGAAAAAGCAGCTGGGAATCTGAGCATGGAAAAGAAAAGCATCAGTAAGGTCTGAGTGGAAGGAAGGAAGTGGTGAGACAGGCTAAAGCCCTACATGGGCTGTAATGTTACAGGAATAATAGATTACTTTACTTAGATTTTGAACACATTTTTTTTCTTAGACATGACTTACATACATTATGTTGCTTAAGATTCCAAAACCATTGCCAATTATTTATGATTAATTGAGAATCATTGGCAAGTAAACTAACAGGATAGTGCCATGATCCTGCTTGTCCCAATCATAGAAAGATTGCACAAATTTTTTTAATAACAAATGTGGTTGCTAAGCTCAATGCTTTAGTTTAATTATCATTGAAATATGAAAGTAAAATAACTTTGCAATTAATAAACGCTACAGACCTTATAATTAATTTTGTTTGGAGTTTTCAACATCATTTTTGAAGTATAAAGTATTATTAAAGACGTACTTTATCGTTTTTAGATTTTTTTCATTTATAGAAATGGTGACAATAATTTTAAGAGCAAATTGCTTGAATTATTGATACTTTTTGTGTTAGACAGTTTATAAGGGGGGACGACATTCTCTAATGTCCTAGGGGGAATAAACCATATGTACACCATTGTGAATCAGCATAGGGTGTGTCATCAATTAAAAGAAAATTATGTACATTTTTATTTAACAGTATGTGAAAACTAATATGATGAAAATAATTTTAGCACTTTTGAATAACTTTATAAGAATAGTTATCATTGGCGTTTGAAGAGGGGGGATTTTGGGCTATGTTTTTTGTTTATACTAATAGTGGTGGTTGATGTGCATTGCTGTGTACAAAGGGGATGTGATTTAATTTTTTTTTTTGCCGAGAGTAATCAAATATTTTAACATTCTTAAATATTTCTTTCATTTTTTAGTGTCGGCCTGCATTAAAAACATATATGCAAGTTATTTGTAAGTCATAGAAACTTACCCAAAATAGGTAAATGTGATGCTTTGAAAAGTTCTTCAACAACATGTCTGTCTTGTGAGTCTAAACCAGCATGATGTAAACCTATGCCTTGCTGGAGTAGTTCTAATTAAGCAATGTTATTATAATAATCAATAAAGATAACAAAATACGTCACTATATATTAACCAGCAAAGAGCATTATTTTTTAATCAACTGTAACAGACTTTATTTTTAAAGCTATGATCACAAATATTAATAATATAGTAAAAAAAGAAGACCAAATAAAAAAGGGGGGGGGGGGGGAGACAGATTTTCATCAATTAAACATTTTAGAAAGGCTGCCACTATTCGTACCCAAGTACCAGAAGTGAGAGGTTGGGGTTAAAAAACTATTTAAAATATTATTGTTGGGTTTGTAAGACAAAATGAGATATCAAATGAAAGATAATTGAATGGACTAAATGTTTGTAAACTTAATTCTTCAGTTTAAATAAACTACCACAAAAGACATCAAAATAGCTTGAGTCTAATGGTACCTGGGTGCGAATGGCGGCGCTGCGTGTCTGGGTCCATCTTGACTCAGTGCTCTCACTTCTGGTACCTGGGTACGGATAGCCCACTTCATTATAGAAAGTTATATTTACCTGCTAGTTTATGCTCATGAATTGTCATGGCAGCTTTCTGGAGTATTTCACCACTAAAATTGATTGAGAAACTACTGATTCTCATGTCTCTTGCTAAGACATCAGCTGACTGGACTACACTCTTGCGAGATGAGCAAAACTGATTTACAGAAACAAAGAATATATAAAAAAGCAGTAGTTTTTTAAGGCTATTTAATATTTTTACAACAGGTAAATTACAATAATTTAAATTAAAACTCCATAAGAAATTGTAATTTACATCAATGTTTACTACAAGTAAGAAAAAGATTATTATTTTAAAATAAAAAATAATAATAGTTACTTGGAACTTTAACGTCTTTAAGATGCACTTAATAATTGCATATTTATATTTCAGTTATCTTGCTGAACATATTTTGAGTAGAGATTTTTTTAATCTTTATCTATTTGAGCTCGTAAACACTTCAGAGCATACAAAGATTTAATTGGAACAGCTCAACATGTGCTATAAATGATTAATAATGTAAATTTTTGGCTTTTCTTTGGTACATTTGTGATAATTTGCTTCCTTACTATGACATTTATTGCACATAACGTTGTTGGGAAAATGTTTTTTTTTAATGGTCATATAAATTTTTTAATTTGATTGATGGTGTTCTGATGCACATTTATTTATTTTTATATCTAGTCATGCCTCTTAAACAGAAAGGATAAAGATAAAAAATAAACTGGAAAAAGCTTACCACAAGTGTTGGCTTTGAATGAGAATATGTATCAATAGCTGCCCTAAGACGATAAGACAGATTCATGTCAAAACGAAAATCTGATGTGCCTTCTTTGAAAGGGAAGCCAAGCACAATCTTTTCAAGTTTAACTGGTCTAAATGATTCCCCTAAGCTGTAAGAGATAAGGACAAATTTTAATGAAGTATCATGTATTTTTGCTTGTCCCAATCCTACTATAAAACTAAAAGATTATCATAAAAACTCAGACTTTGTTCAATATTTTATTTGGGTTGTCTCAAAGAATGTATCATTGTGTTCAAAATTATCATTATTATTCAACTGCATAATCTGTAACCACTGGGCTAGGGCAATTCATACTTGAAAGCTGTTGCTGGTTTTGATGGCTGACCTAACCACTCTGCAATCTGCAATGAAAATTCCGTAATTAAGTTTCGTTTTTAAAATTTGAATTTGTGCCCTACCATCCAAACTTCTTTTACACTATAGATACTAACAAATGACACTGATTCAGAAATCTAAGGAGTATGTCATGTTATATGTAAATTTTAAATTTTGATAAGTGTGACCAAAATAGCTGAAATATAAAGTTCAAAAGAACGCAAACAAATCAAGGGCAGGTCTGATGTAAATATGGAACAATCACCGTTAAAGTCATTTTAATTCTGATAGAGTAATAAGTTCTAGGTTGAGCTTAAGGGTATGAATTACTGATTTTTATAAATAAGAATACAGAAAAAAATAAAATGGCATTACATCACTATAATTGGGCATAGTAGCTGAGACAGCAATGAAACGAATGTAATGTTCATCTCCGTTCATGTGAGCAGACTGTAGAATTTTCATCCGACTTACTACAGCCTCCACTGTGGCTCCTCTGTTTCGATCATTCAGTGTATGGATCTGAGAAGGAAAGAAAATAAATTAAGTGATCCAAATATAGGTGAGATATTTTAAGTTAGTGTACACATTCTCTGTTTTCGTTATCCTACCAAGATCAGATGATCATGATTTCTTAGTTACTCAATACTGGTTATGTTAATTATACAGGATTACAATTTGCTGCTAGTTAAGATGAATCTGGTCCATCCTTTAATATAGAAAATAAATTATGGATAAAAAACACATCTATTTTTTAAGAGTACTTGGATCTTAGAAATCAATAAATAACAAATAGCTTGAAGACTTTTAAAGTTGCAAAATACCTCATCAATAAGAAAAAGTTTAATACGATGAAAGAGCTGCTTATTATCCTTCCACCTCCTGGACATGCTATCCCATTTTTCCTGTCAAGTAATGGAGTAGTAGCATTATCATTTAAAAAAAAAAAAGCAGCAAATCAAAATATTAAATAATTAATCTGATGAAAGAGCTGCTTATTATCTTTCCACTTCCTGAACATGCTATCCCATTTATCCTGTCAAGTAATGGAGTAGTAGCATTATCATTTTTCTAAGATATTCTCAGCATACATTTTTTAGGCACATTCCATTAAATGCATTTCATTTTTTTGCCAGTAATGTATATAACAATTACAATATTCAAGGCATTCAAAAATTATAAAACTAATTAATTTCAAAAAGCTAGTTGCTGATATAAAAGCAGCTACTTTAAAGTGAATAGCAATTGATTTAAGGATGGTCAAGACTTCTCCTTTCAGAGTTAAAAATACACAGCAGAGATAATTTCTTGAAAGCTGTTAAATTTTTTCTAACCAAACACATATTTTGATATCATCATTATTCAATACTTGTTCAAACTGTTAAAGATTGGTCAAATAACAAACTGTTCAACTTCTAGAACTATGAAAATTTAGCAGAAAAGTTCAACAATTTTAAATTGCGATAAATTTATACTCCTACTAGCATAAAATGTTTGGGTTTTTTTTAATGAAAAAAATGAAATTACGATCCCAAAGATGTTCATTTAAGGAAATTTACGCTTAGTAATTATGTCATAATTTTTAAAAAAATACAAATAAATGTATTATACATAAACTTATTTATTTTAAAATATATTAATGTTTCATTGTTGCCTCTTCCCAGTCCTTTATTATTCTTTCTGGATCCACCCCTGTCATTCCTCCCCCCCCCCCAACCAAACCTAGCAATGTATCAATTACTGGAGTGGTGCATATGAGGCTGGCATGAAGTAACTCTCCCAAATCATCAAATTCTGAGTCTCCAGTCACTTCTAAACAACTGAGACCATGGCATCTAAACTTTGTTGCCCAATCTTGGAATCTTTCTGTGCACAGTGCTTTCATAGGTGCCACTGTTGAGCAGGAGTTATACAAATGTTAAGTATAGCATGCAATCTCAATATTACAATATTTATTCTATAGCTTTTTTTTCTCACTTTTTCCATTAAACTATTCTGTTTTAAAATTATTTCCCTTTGGATCAAAATTTTTAGAATGAGCCCTGACCAATTATACTGTTGAAGTTTAATTTCAAAATAAATGAAAACAAATCTTTTCTTAGTACTACGAAACATTTTTTGTAGAAAAGATTCTTTTAAGTTTTACGTATATAATATAAGACAGTTTTAACAAAAAAGAATTAGTATTTAACACATTTGTTGATTTTCATTCTAAAGAATCTTTTAAAATAATTTTAGTATAAAGCATTTTGAAGTTATCTAATACATAGTGAATTAATAATTTTCATCAGTTAATATGCCATCTTAAAATATTAATTAACAGAAATAAAAGCAATTCTGTATTTTTTTTCTGTTAAGTACTGTTCTGATTTGCCTATTGTATTGTCACAGTTGCTTCCCTTTGTTGTCAATGCCTGAGGCCCATGTTTCTTGAATTGAGATGTTTTGCTTGTAGCTATTCATTTAAAATGCAGACAGGAAGCTCAACAGACATGTTAGTTTTCCTTGTGTTAGATATAGCTATATAACAAGTAATTTCAATGATTTTTAATAATATATTATAAACCCTAATCTTGGTCTAAACTATGACAATGAAGTTAGAGAGTGATTAATTTTGAAAGCTTTTTTTTTTTTTTAATATACACAGAACTGTTTTAAGCTTCTATTATTCACAGTTGGAAACCATTATAGGATACATTATTGGGTTTTTAATATTTGTTAACTCATCAGCATATTGTCATTTTGAGTTATATATTTTACAATTTTAAAATACTTGTAAGATACAATTAAATTTTTATACTCCATATTTTTTTAGAGCACCAAAATACTTACTGTAAACAATTTTGCCACACGATGCAACATTTTCACTCTTCATCAGCAAACGAATGACAGCTAGCTCAAAAATAACAGTTTTCCCAGAACCTGTTGGTGCTGAAGCAACAATAGATTTATCTGTATAGAGAACCTGCCAAATATCAATGAATTTTTTTAAACACTATTTCTGTTATATTGTTTACTATTACTTAAATTTGTAAGGCTGTAATTCTATTTTTCTAAAAAAAAATAACACACATATACACAGGCCCATTCAGAGAAAAGCCAGGCACCCACTTTGCGGCGCGCGAAGTAACGAAATATTCTTTATTTTCTTAATAGCTTCTCCCCTGTCCAATTTTCTTTTGGCCTGCAAAAGTTTTTCATAAAATATAATGGCCTGACTAACATTTTGAGTTGTGCAGGCTTGGTCTACAGTCTTAAATCCCACCAAGCCAAAAATAATGTGTATGTCCACATGTTTTTAAATTAAATCATTCTGGAAACTAGCAAGTTGAATTTCACTGTACTGATTTATTGACTCAAAGATGCAACTTAACAAATCAGAATTTCTTATAACATATATGTGAAATACCGTCAACTTTTAACACATTAACACATTAAATACTTATTTAAATTAATTGAATTACTTGTCTCTCTCTCTTTAGCTTTAAAGAATAAGAACCTTTTATTTTCAGCCTCAATAAAAACTCTTTCCATCTTTCTAGCTGTTCAACACAGCAGGAATCTGACTATAATAAACTGGAAAGTAAAATTACCTCTGAAAATTGTGCAGATCACACTGCAGTGTCATTTGGATAATTTTTTTAACATAAATTTTGCATTGGGCCCTTTGAACTTAAAATATTTCCAACTGACCAACTGGAAAATTTTGCAAATCTTGTGATACTACCATCCTTTGAAAGCTACCATAAAAGCAAATTGTCAGTTTTGTATGGAACACTGAAATAATTGGAAGTTCTCATTATTCTATTTTCTAGAGATCATTGAACTGACTTCCCACTTTGATTCAATTAAAAAATTTAAAAATTCACAGTAAAAGAGTCAAAGGCAAGAAAATTGTCATTTATCATGATACCTTTAAAAAAAAAATTATGTAATTGACGTTATAGCAAAAAATGGAAAGAAGTTATTATCTATTGAGGCTTTAGCTTTGATTACTAACCAAACTAATATCAAGCAAATTATTTTCATATTTACTAAATAATTGTGGCAAAATAGAGCAAACTCAGAGACAAATATGACAGCTCTCATACATGCAACCCCTTCCAATTGGATGGATTAAATATGGAGTAAATTCATGTTATAAACCATAATTTTTAAAGTTTCTATTATTCGCTGATGGAATCCATTATGTGATATATAATTTGGTTTTTAATATTTGTTTACTCATTGACATATTGTTAGTTTTTAATACATAAAAAACCTACCTCATCAAATGTTAGAGATTGTAATATGTTGAAGTAAGGAAAGGTGAAGATATTTTGGTAAATCCTGGGTTTATTAGTGAAGGAGAATTGGAACAGTGACAATAAGCACACAAATATTTCAGTGACAATTGCTTTGTCTTTAAAATGATAACAGCTAAGTAAGAAATTAAGAATTAAAACAATTTACTTGAAGTCAGCCAAGATGCACAAATAAAGAAACGTGAAAGGATTTATTCTAAAAATTAGTTTCAATTACAAAGTTAAGCAGATATTATTAAGTTTAACTGTTTTATTTTAAAATAAGGATATGAACTTCATCAACAGAATGCAGCTTGACCCCCCTTACAACAGGAGGACCTGAGAGAAAAATAACATTTATTATGTAAGAAAATATGTGTTTTAACAGTAGATTATATATCTCAATTTATTAACAGTTAGTAGGCATATTCTTTATTAGGTATGGAGGACTAGAGAACACAACAGATTGTTGAGTGAGCTGCGAACTATTCTGGGTAAAAATAGAGGATGGATGTCAAAAACTTTTTTGTTAGTCATCACTTAAATTTTTAAAAATTATCCACATTGATATTTTTTGTATGAAGTCACATTCTTTCCCTCCCAACCTTATATTTTATTACATTATTTTGATCTCTTCTATTTAAATTGTTTGATGTCTTATGTGAGGTTTTGTCAGATGTTACCATCCTAATTGCTGCCTTTGGATTTTGTGGTATGTTGTTTAGGGCCCTTTGAACTTTTATTTCCAACAAACCAACTGGAAAATTGTGTAAGCTCTGTGATACTACCATCTTTTGGAAGCTGCCATAAATGTAAATTGTCAGTTTTAAAACTGACTAAGACCAAATGATAATCCCCACTTCAAAAATACGTGCAGTTGAAAAACATCTTCAGCAATATTGCAGTTGCATTTGTACCTTATATATTATTAAGTTGAATTTAAATACAAGATGCTTATAAAAGTGTGTCTCTGTTTCAGAAAGCATGAATCTTCACACCAGCACAAACAAAACCACATTAGTGTCTGTATGTTGCATTTAGCTATAACTTTATTTAATGGCTTTAGAAATATTTTGAATTATTATTTTAAAATTTTATTTTATTGGTGGGGTGTTACCTCGACTTAAAACCTGACATCAACTAAACAGCATCTGCATTTCAATTTATGTTACACCAAAGACTTAAAATATTGAAATTAGCTACTTGTAATTTTATACGGAAAGGTCAATGCTAAATTAGTCTAATCCCAAGACCTTAACTTACCCTCACTTCTAGATCTTTCATTTTCATTCACCTTTGATATTGGTGGCTTCATAATTTGTGAAAAGGAGACATCAAATGAAGATTTATTTATTTTAGTTTGTTTAGAAATGTTGCTATAAGTTGGAGCTGCTGGCACATGAATCTGTTGATTTTCATTTATTTTTGAATTTTCAAATTCAAAGTTTCTTGGTTCCAGAATTTCAGGGCTTCTATTTTTAAATTCATTAAGGTATTTGGCCATGATGTGTTCACCAACTGAAAATTAATGTATGCCAGAAAGCAGTTATAAATTAACATTTTAATATATAAATATTAAATAAGTGCATTTTTAGTATAGTCATACATTAGTATTTTTCTGTGATTTATCATAATTTATGTCTAAATTACAAATAAATTTAAAGGTTGTTAATGTTCCTAAATTGTCGTTATGCAAATAATTGTGATAAATATATACTTATACTGACCCACTCATTTCTTGTATGCTATTTAACTTAACATTAGAGAGAGTTATAAGAAGTATCTGAGGAACAATAACAGGAGGGAAACTCAAGACCCACAACCTATAGGCACTCTCTTCAATCAATCCGTTCAGTATCTTGGATATGCTTATAACATAGCACTGTTAGGGTAAAAACAGGACAGACATAAAAGCCTTTATTGAATTAGGAGACATCCCTACAAGCAGGACTGGAAGTTAACCAAAAAAAAACAAAATACATGAATATGATAAGAGAAGAACACACAGATGAAGCCATTAAATCAGAAAGCATACTTTTGAAAAAGTAAATCAATTCAAATACCTAGGATTTTTATTAATGAAAGAAATGGATTATTAACTAACAGAAATAAAAGAAAGAATATCAGCCTGTAACAGGGCATACTTCTGCCAGAAAATACTCAAAAGTAAAAACATTACAAGAAAAACAAAGAAAACTATTTTCAAAGCTGTAATCAGACCAGTTGTAACATACACAAGTGAAACTTGGACCCATTAAAGACACATGGGAGAGAGAAGTTCTCCTGAAAATATAAACCAACAAAGGATGAATATGGATGGAGAAAACGAACCAATCAAGAATTGTACAGTTTATATCAGAATCCCAGGCTAATAGTAATAGCACAAATAAAAAATCGTGGGCTACGCTGGTCAGGACACTTAGATAGAAAGAATGCCAAATGACAGAGGAGTGAAAGAGGGTAAATCACCAAAATCCCAGAGGAAAACGGCTCAAAGGCAGACTCCTAGGCTTAGATGGATGGATGATGTGGACATTGTGGAAAAAGATCTACAGCAGCTGGGAATCCAACCATGGAAAAGAAAAGCATTAGTTAGGTCTGAGTGCAAGGAAGTAGTGATTTAGTAGTGAGGCATGCCAAAGCCAAGGTCAAAGACCTACATTTACATTTAAATTTAAATGGGCTGTAATGCCAAAGTCAAATTACAGGGATGGATGGATGGCCCACTTATGTAATAATAAACTTAAAATTAATTAAAATATATTATACAGGGTGGGCCAATAAAAGTGAGAACATCTCGTAAAATATTACGCTACGAGATGTTCTCACTTTTATTGGCCCACCCTGTATATAGGGTATATATAATATATATTATATACATAATCCAACATGGTCCATGTCAATATTAGGCTATATACTTTAAAAAATATAGTTACACTTGTAATTAAGTTTAAGTGTGACTCTATGTCTAAGTCATCCCAGACCTATGTGAATATGTCAATATGTCAATTATTCAGGTATAATAATAATTAATATATGGTCATAAAACATTTATTATGAATTATGGCATAATATGCGTATGGAGATGGTTATATTATAAATTATAGCCTATGCCTGCTAAAAATTCACGAAAATATTAACAAACGTAAGCAGCTGATTTAAAATTACTTACAGTTTCCAAGACAGCCAAAGTGAGAACTTATTTAGCCTTTAGTTTTTCTCTCTCACTTTCTTTCTATCTCTCTATTACTCTATTAGTATTTCTAAACGAAGTCTGGTAAAATAATACTATTTTGATTTTTTGAAAGTTGCAGACGCATACTTAACTCTGTATATGCCATTTTGTCATGCATTTTACAAATATTTTAAGTAAGCATTAAAATCAGATTATTTTGATAATCAAATATTTTCCTTTTTATATGAAGATGTACCCTTTAATTTTAAGATATCATAGCTGAAGCAAGAATATTTTAATTAGAAAATCGATTATACGTTTTATTCAATTAATAAAACATTATGCATGGAGCTGTAGCTATTTTTGAATATTACTTCAGATGCTTAAAAATCTGGTAAAAATAAGAAATGTCCAATGAATCCCCCTAGTACGCGTATTTAGATGATGGAGATGTACCAATATTAATCTGGATACAATAAGGGCACCGTGATTGAAAAGGTTTTAAATAATATCATATAATGCTTTGCTTTTTACATCCGTTATAATAACTTTACTTTTGTTCGTGGGTGGCAGGCAAAATCTTCGGATGGGTAATTTAAATTGACTCACTTCCCGACAAACTATTGAGCAGAAACTTGGCGAATAGACTCGTTGCCGTTGACAACACATTCTATCAAACCTTCAGCCCCACCCCCAAAATTCAGTTTTTCCTTTTCATCAAGTAAAAAATATCCAATAACTGCGCTAAATGAGATTCCTTTTTAAAAATTGTTTTAAAAAATCGCAATATGTTTTTTTTGCTTTTCTAAAATTGTTGGTGAAATTTCTTTGGATCTCTTATCTTTTTGTTGTTTTTCTTAGTTTCTTCATCTACCTCTCCCTTATATAAAAAAAATCTAAGAACAAATAAAAGGCTGTATTTCTCAGAACCTGAATTTCTTAAGCGTATAACATAAATATATAAATAAAACTGTCAGGCACCAGCCGCTACACGGCTACAGTGTTTGGCGCTGCGAGCAGGGTAAAATTATGCCACCCACTCGTCACACGAGTACATATATATATATATATATATATATATATAGATGGGATTTGCAATGTTTCTGTTACTGGTGTTGATGAGGAAATCATGCACTAGGGGTTTGAAGGCTTGAGGCAATAGACACAAATGTGTCTAGTGTTGTCGCCTCAACTGTTCCTTTTGAAAGATGGTTCCAGTCCCTGATTGTCTTGGGAAGGAATGAGCAGCTCCTATACTGGCTTCTTGCTGGTATGAGCCTGAATTGCCTGTCATGGCCTCGTCGCTGTCTATGGGGGAGAGGGACGAGTTTCTGTTTAATACTGGAACAGTGGACCAGCCCATTATTTATCTTGTACATCATGGAGAGCCTGGATTGTCGTCGTTGTTTCTCCAATGGTGACCAGCCTAGTGTTTCTAGCATGCTGCCAACACTAGAGGTATTCCTGTAGAGGCTGGACCGCCTCCAACCTGTCAATGCTCTTCTGGGTAAATGGGTCCCAAACTGAAGATGCATAATCTAAAATCGGACGGATATGGCTTTATATGCTCTTTCTTTCACACAGGAGTTGCCAATCTTTAGATTTCGCCTTAAGAACCCTATATATATATATATATTGGACATTGGAAAATTAAAAAAAATAAAAACTGATAATGATAAAGATATACGAGGGCAGTGGCGACACTAGGGCTGATGTCATCCAGTGCGTTAAACACATGTCACCCTTTCAGCCCCCCCACCCCCCTCCACTCTCCCACTGTCACGAAGAACTCTGCCAAGTGGGCTTTATTGTAGAACAATCAATGATAAATGTTTACAATCGTGGAAAACCCCTAACTTAATGCTGAAGGGGGAGTTATCCAGATCAGTAAATAATGGAAATAAAGTCTCTCATTTCCCGGGAAAACGGGAATAAAGTTTCCCTCCTCCCGGGATAAAATTAATTTAATTAAAAATATATTATAAACAGAAGTAAACTATGAAAAGGTTGATTTTGTAATATAGTTAATTAATTGTTGATTAAAACCATATTAAGGTAATAGTTGAGAGGTTGGTCACTTCCTGCTGTTTGCTTACGTTTTCACTGATTATCTCTTGTAATGAATAACTAGCTAATAATACGCATGTTAAGCAAAAGTTGGATGTAACTGCCTGAAGATAAAATCTCAACACTATGAGTTTTGTATTCTTTACAGTTTGTTAATTGTAGTTTCGAATGAGTTACTAAATATTTACAAGCAATGCTTCTAAAAACGTGTAACAAGGGGTTCGTTTAGAATAAACATACAATTAGGAATGATAATACACGTATCTCTCCCTATATGTCTTACTAAGATCATACACGTATCTATATATTAATACGTCTTACTATGTTATTACATGTATCTATATTAATATGTATTTCTTCCTAAGATAATACAAGTATCTATATATGTATATGTCTTACTATGTTATTACACACACACACACATACACACACATATATATATATGTCTTACTATGTTGAATTTGGAAATAAAATTTTAAAAAACACTACAGAATAAAATATTAAAAGGTAGTTTGACACATGAAAACCTTTGGATATTCAAGTTACTAGAGCACAGGTTTCAAGGTTGATTATATCAAGCATATCAATATCCATCCCTTGGGGCCCCCCAAGTGGGAAGGGCACATATTGATTTACTCGATTGCCTCGGCTTCTGCACGGGCCTGATTCAGTGCAGTTAATTAGATTTTACAGCTCTTGGCTTATAGCAAGAACCTGTGAAAATATGTCACTTGCTATACGTGTAATAATAGATAATAATAAACAAGTAGGCCTATTCTAAACGTGTGTACGCGGTAATAAAAAATGTCCCGGAAAGTCTTTTGGTTACTAAAAATCGTGCGCGATCCCGGGATAGAAACCCCACACAGTGTGGCATACGTTTAGAACTGTCAGGAATTATCTTTGCTTTTTGCGCACAGATAAACAGGGGATTTTTTTTTTCTTCAATGGAGTAAAAGTAGACCAACGGGAGATAACAAAATACGCATTGCTGTTCAGTTTTCAATTTACGCCGAAATTCCAAATTTAAAAAAGGAAGAAATAAAATTAGTAATAGATAGGATTGTAACGAAACATGTATAATATTCCAAAAGAACAATTACAATTTATTGCTAACATATCCCAGCAAAAAAAAAAAAGAATTTGCAGCCCACCTAAAATTAAAAGTGCTGCCCAGTGCGGGATCGGCCCACTCTCCGCCCTAGGTTCGCCACTGACTGCAGCAGATAAAAAAATTAATATTTGGTGAAAATGTTCAAACCACTTAAATGGAACGAACCAATAATAAATAAAATAACAAAGCACCCTTCCATCATCATCAGTGGCACCACAACAGCGCATGAATGAATGTTTCTGTTCTGCTCCACCCCTTTCTTCCACTCGGACTGATCCATTATTTTCGTCTCCATGCCCGGACCACTAGCATCATCCACCCATCTCATATTCGTGTGAGCCGTCCGACCCTTGGTTTCTGTCTGTTCTGTAAATCACCTTTGCTCCGATATAATATGGTATCTTATCGTGGTGTCCTGTCCAGCGCAGACTGCCTTTTTAAATTGTCTCCACCATCATTGAATTTCCCCCACGAAAGAACATTTTACAATAGTTTAAGATGACGGGGAAAATAAACGTCCTATATATTTCTTGCTTATTGTCATAGCCAATGTGGAGTCAATAGGTTTGAACGGCGTACGGGACTGTGGGACGAAACGTATTCCACCAGTTAAATACAAGAACAGTGTGCCACCAGAACACCGTATATGGGAAAACCAGTGAGATAACAGCAGAATAGGAAACAGTTTCAGTCATGAGAGCACGAATGGCAAGGTGTACTGTGCTATATTTAGACAACTAGGTCAAAAGCAAAGCTAGTTGGGAAAACTATGGTATTTATTTATAACGTTTTAAAGGACATTTTCACACGGACGTGTTGGTCGTGGATCTCGTTTTAAACCACCGGTACATTTGAATTTATTTGATTTAGACTACTAGATTAAACTTGTGATCTGGAATAGAGAAGTAGCTGCTTTGTAACAGGACAATAGTTCCATGGTGTTTGACAGTTATTACCATAGGTGCCTCTGGAGTATTGCCTCAAAGGGTTATATTATATATATATATTTTTGGACACATGGTTAATGGTTAATGAGTGTGTCGTGTGGTGCACGTTCTTAAAGAGGTATTTAGAGACTCGACTAGAGTAGCTAGTTGGTGGTTCTGTTAAATGTTCTTCTTCTATATCTTAATAAGGGCCAACGATCAATGTATTGATCATTCTGGTTCCTATTTATTTGTGTAGAGGAGATTCGCGATGATTATGTACCTGATACTGGATAGGATATTTCAAGGGGGGTGGGTGGGTGGGGTGGAAGGTCTTTGGATTTACACAATATAATATCTACTCCATTGTTTTGATTGGCGATTTGAAAATCACCTGTTTGAGTAATTAAAATAATTAATTAACCTCGGTTTCGTGACTATAGTCTATTGGTCGTTGGCAATTTTTACAGAAAAAAATAAATCTTTTTGAGTACAGTGACCGTGGATTGAAAAATAACGCTACTTGAGATGGGTGGTTATGGTATATTTTTTTAAAAGTTAAAGGATCTACTGGAGTGTGGTAACTGGATTTAAGGATCATCTATTTGTTGTCAATGTAGATTTCTTCTTCTCTTCTATATTTGAGGGCCCACGATCAATTTATTGATCATTCTGGCTCCTGGTTTGAATTCAGAGTTTGCCGTCTCTTAAATGAGTTGCCGTCCAAGGCTAATGTATCCCCTCCACCCGGGGTGCTTGGGATGTTTTTGCTTGTCTTGGCTCTGTTGAGGATTGAACCACCAGCTATTTGGATTGAGGCAGTTTAGACCGCTGGACCAGCCAGCATATTTTCGCTTCAAAAGTCTCTAGGGTCCTATACTTCGAATACGGTGACATTGACATGGATTTAAAAAGTATATATAGACCTACTTAAATATGGTGACTTTTACTTGATAATTATCTATTAGTTTACTTGAATGTGGTGACTTTGACTTGATGATTTGACTTATGTGGGGTCAACCATGAGAAATGAATGGAGACCACAAGAAAAATATGAGTGCAAAGTTCAAAATTGTTTTACTCGGACAATATGGGGTGGGCAAGTCGTCCATTTTTTTAAGGATCCGAGATGGTGAATTCCTGGGCAATGCCATGTCCACTATTGGCGTGGATTATTGTATCAAGGATCTTAAAACAGAGGGAACAACGATACAGGTAACAAAAAATTGTTTCAAATAAATATTTAAAAAAAAAACAACAACAACATAAACACCAGCGGTGTTGAATTTGAACTATTCTTCTTAAAAGAAAAGTTATATATATGTGTGTGTGTAAATATATGTATATGTACAAATATGTAATATATATATATATATATGTGTTTATATATGTGTTTATATATATATATATATATATATATATAATATATATAATATATATATTATATATTTATATATATATAAAAATTTGGTGTATTTCACGGAAACGGTTGTTAAACATCTACATCTACACATCCTATATAAAACATTGTTGATGATGCTATCAGTACGGTTTAAGACGAAGCGTGATTTTAAAAAAATGTTAATGTTTGTTTTTGTTGTTTTTTTTAAATTGTTTTATTGTGTTGACAAATATAACGTTATTGTATCTTAACCGATAGCAAATCTGGCAACTTAAAAAAATAATAATTTGTGAAACTTAAAACGATTAGGTATTATTTTGAAAAGTTTTCTCCCTCAATCGGAAAGCAGTGTCAAACCAATCACTACTAGACAATGAAGCACTGAGCGGAGGCAGAAGGAAAGAGAACCGGTTGGGGGTGGGGGGTGGGGCGTGTAAATGACTTCAGACAAAAGCTTTTGCTTGCACCTCAGTATCACGCCGATTTGATGAGCAGCTGTCCTTCAATTTACTTCCGCATGGCCTGCCCAGCTCCTGGTTTCTGTACTGGCGCAATTTACTATCTGCAAATTTAGTTTCCTGTTGGACTGATGCGCCAACCGATGTGAGACGGCTGATCACTGACATGCACCAACAAACAGTTCGAAGTTTGTGGACATAGGACAGGGCCGTCTCAACATCATCCGTGGCCCTGTGCAGGGCCGTGCACTGAGGCCCCTTATTCCTCTTTAACCTATTCAAATAATGTTAGAAAAACAATTAGGGGCTAGGTGGGCCCATGCGTTATGACCATTATTTCTTTCAGAAGTGGCAGTGGGGGGAGGGGGGGTAGTGTTCAGGCGTTCGAAAAGGGGGAAGGGCATCTATCAGCGTAAGAATTATGCAAACTGTCGTCCAGAGACAGCTCTGAATCCGTCGCCCCGCCATACATAAACATGAATTCTTTCATATTGTGTAGGACCTCCTTTGATTGTGTGCTTTAAGCTACAAACTTAGTTTCGCCCCTGGAATCTATGTATATAACCAATATAACCAACAACATATTATTATATACCAAAATAAAAGAAAAATCATATTTTTGTAAAGTTCAAGAAAATCAGTTTAATTACTTACAACTAGCGCCTTATTTTTTTCTATAAACAGGTGCCGGTAATGTCACCGATCGGGGAAGAAGCAGGTGGGCACCGAAAGCTCCCGAAGGAAATATGAGATGAGTTTTGGGGCGGGGGTCAGTTAGCCCTTACCCAATGTTCCCTTTAAGCAGCGCGGCTGTGCGGCCGCGCAGCTATCTCACAGACGCCGCGCAGCAGTTTTCAGTATCCGCGCAGCAAATTTCCATGTAAGTGTGTGTTTGTGGGCTGTAAAATTTTGCACACACAAAAATTGATGCTGTAAAACTTTGCACACAACTGTATGATTTTGCACACGAACCAACAAACCTTAGAGGGAACATTGCCCTTACCTAGAATTTATATGATACAGTCACAGTGCAGTTGTTCATTTTTGTGTATACCTGAATTTATTTTTGAATCAATCTACACTAAATCAGCGAGCAACAGAAGATATGCTAGTGAAATTGTAGGCTCACATGACCTGTTTGTGTTTATGATCCTTTATTTTTAGATGTTTCTAAATATTGATGTTTTTCAATGTTTAATTCAAATTATTTGTTTACCCTACTTCATCGATACATTTGTTTATAATTCCTTCAAAATTTTTTTCTTCACTTTTTGTATTTATTTAAATATTTTTAATTTTTACAAATACAAAAAAAAAAAGAAAAAACTACATCAAAAAAACAAAAACAAAAAGCCAATACTCTTTTGTAGAAAAGGTCTATAGATTTTCTTATGGGTATCTAAAACAGTTCATTTATTAAATAAATATTTTAGAAATGGCATTCAAATATAGGATTTATTTACAAAAGTCTTCATATATTTATTAATGAGTCATATATGTTAGGAAATATGAAGAAGTATAAATATATCACATATCTTCAGTAAACCGAAAGGTTTACTTGGAATTTCAAAAACATTATAAATTCCTTCAGATAAATTAATAAATAAAGAACATATGGCACCTATAAAAACTCTCTGATTTACTTTAACATATTTCACGCACCCATCTCCTTTTTCCAACTCATCTTTAAAAGAAAGAAGGAAATTTCCGAATTTTTATTTAGTTAATGATTTTTTTTTAAAAACTAGTAAACAAGAATTTAATTTATTTGAAAATAGAAAAAAAATCCTGTACACAAAAACTTGGGGAGCTTGCTACCCACTGCACTTGCACTTTAAAATCAAATTATATTGCCTAAAGATGTTTCAAGATTCATTAACACTATGGGAATCTTAACGCTCCGGGAAGCCATATGAAGCATGGGGCTCCCTAGACTGCTCAGTGTGCCCACGCCTTGACCGCACCACCCTCCTACGTCACTAGCGGGTAGTATTAGCAGTATGCTAGTGGTTCCAATCAATTTCAGTCTGATACAGTGGGCGAACATTACACCATCCAACTCTGATCCATGTTCTCCATACGTCCTGTAAACTTCGTGACTACGTGATCATTAAAAAAAAAAAACAGTGCTAAACTGCATCAAAAATAAATATTTTTTTCCTCAAATTTTCACTAAAAAGATTTGCAGTTCGTCAATATCCGTTGTAGCGAAGGCACCATTTATATGTGAAAGCATCCAATATATATATATATATTGGTTTGATATCCAGAGCTTTTTTTCTGGTTCTGATTCTGATAGACTACGTTGCTGCAACCAAGTACTGGCATATTTTAATTTAATACCTTCATTTTTTCCCCTCGCGTTTGAGTCAATGCATTATTTGTGTATACCTTGCATTTGATTAATATTCAAATCACTCAATTAAAAATAAAAGTTCAACCAAATTGGCAAGTTTAACTTTTAAACAAAAAGTTCAACCAAATTGGCAAGTTTAACTTTTAAACAAAAAGTTATCGTTGCTAATAACATTATTTTAAAAAGTAATAAAAATAATTAAAAATGCTCTTTTATTTTAACCCCTACTCCCCCTCCCCCCACACACACAAACACTTTTTAAAAAAAATCTAGTTCTTGAAATTTACGCCCAGTTTCGCCTGAATTGATAAGCTCGTAGAATCTAAGCGCAGAAAGAAAGTTGTCAAATGGGAAATCCTGTGCAAATTACCAAAGATGTGTACAACGTGGGTTTCAGAAGACACCGAGCCAATCGCAATAGTTCATATATTGGCCAATAATTTAATGATCAATATTGGTGGCTGGACACTTGTGCGGTCAATTGTGACAATACCTCAAAACGAAACTTGGCAAAGGCCGTTGTCGTACCAATTGATCCGGCCCTAATGAAGACCTCCGACGTGTTCTCACAATAACACAGAGCCCTAATTCCTGTTCTATATTGAGAACATTTACATACATTGACATTAATGAGATCTTGAAATGTATACGTTTTATTTTGGTTAATGATGGTAGTGTCTGCTTATAAAAGCGTCTAACCGAAACGTCCGCTTAATTGTGATGTCCTTTTTGCCCCCCTCCCCCTTTTTTTTTCAAGCCTTAATATATATTGTATATATTGCTACACACTTTATTTATTTCATACGGCTTGAACGCAGTCACTTGTTTATATTATTTTATTATAATATTTCCACTACTCTCAACGAAATCCATCAGTACAATTAAACGCTCTTTATACCGTTCTCATCCATTCAGGTTGTTTTTGTTTTTTTTTAGGATTCTCCTTTTGGGGACGCCCACCAATGCGTCATCACAGGAAAATTACATTTTAAATTGGTCTAAAAAACGGTCGTCCCCCCCCCCCCCCCCCCCCCCTTGAGTGAGGCTAAAGCTAACATTTATTTGTTTCTAAGGAATAAACTGGGGTATTTCAAACTCCCCCCCCCCCGTCCCACTTTTCCCGAACTTCACAATGGCCCCTTGTATCCGGATGTCTGAAAGAAACACAAATGTAATGCGATGCGAAAATGACGCGATATGTCTTTGTTAAACCCATACAAAGGTCAGATCTTCAGAGATAATTCGTAGCCCTAGATAAAATCCCGTATTTGTACGCGACTTCCCGTGTGAAAACATGCCAGATTGACACAATTGCCGTTCTTGGCCTCCTTGGCGCCTGACGTCACTGGTCCCATGGCGGGGCTAAGGGGTCGTCCATTAATTACGTCAACAATTTTTAAGCAATTTTTGACCCCCTCACCCCTTGTCAACACTTGTCAAACTTTCAATGACCCCCCCCCCCTATTTAATTATGTCAACATTTTCTAACCCCACCCCCTCCCTTTTTCAAGAAAAAGGAATTATATTATAAATAAATTTATCAATAGATTTTGCTTTGTGCTGATCTATTTTAATGACAATAAAATTTTAGGAAAAACATTTCATTAGTCTACATCTTTAGCTTGTTAATCAACAAGTTAAAAGATTTTACACTTAAATTTTGTAATGCATAATCAATTGAAACGGTTGTTAAAGACTAAATCTCATTGTTTGTGATATAAATATGATTATTGTCAGTAAAGCTGACAATTGTAGTATAGTTTCTAGCTGCTATCATCTTCTCAAGGAGTAGCCAGGTTTGCTCTATCGTAACAATTGGCAGTGCCGGCCTTAGGCCACTGCAACCTATGTGGTCGCAGTGGGCCCCTCACTTTTTTTCTAATACAAAATCTTAATTTTCACTTATTATCCTTATCCCTACCCAGACTGGGCCCCGCGCACACCGTTTCGCATAGGGCCCCGCAATTGTTAGGGCCGGCCCTGACAATGAGCATCAGGGACATCATTTGGGTAGGGCAGGGGAGCATTTGCCCCAACCCCCTAATTGGCAGGTTTAAAAAAAAATTGCTATGTACTGTGGCGCCTCCAGTAATAAACAACTTAACAAGCCGACCAAGTTTTGGTTTTGCCCCCCCCCCCTTTTTTTTTTCCCCCCTGAAAAAAACATGAGACGCCCCTGATGGGCAAAGTCTATAGCAGCTGATTGATCATTTTCATCTTGCTGCACTGATATACCAGACAAGTCAACATCATCCTCATTCAACCATTCAGCACTTAAAATAGAAGCATTGTCATTGTGAGCAATAATTGCCCTAAGCTCCTTTGAGCTACTCACATTGGTCGAATCCTTTTTTGTTGAGGAGCAGGTGCTAATTTCTTATGCTCAAGAGGGCATTGTCGGTTCTGTTGAACATGCTTTTTCAACATGACTTGTGATGCAAAATAGTTGTTACAGATTTTGAAAATCCAATCAAGTAGCGGCGATGTTATTATTGTTGCTCACTTTACAGTTACGTAATTCTCAAAGTATCGTATTCCTACTCCATCAATCTCAGTTATCTTGACTGCACAGGACACTTGAACCTTGTCCTTGTTCCATACCTGCAAAAGAATCTACAGATGAAGAGAGGTCAACTTGTGACTTCTCTTGCACTAACAAAGTGTACTAACATTCTGATCAGCCAACTGTAGTGCACAGACACACATTAACTAAATATTGTATTGTTAAAAGCCAAAAATTGATAGACTATGACTATTTATATTCATTTACACCTATAATTTTTTAAAAAATAATGTAATAACCAGTCAATTTTTAACATCGAAATTTTAATAGAGAAACCATGATTATTGAAGTCAACTAATCTAAAAACCCCTCCATCCCCTTCTCAACAACTGTTAAACATTTCCAACCCCCCCCCCCTATTTTGTTGACGTAATTAATGGACGCCCCTTAAGTAGACCGCATATCACACAGGCTACAGTGGAACCTCGGATAACGAACTAAATCCNACACACATTAACTAAATATTGTATTGTTAAAAGCCAAAAATTGATAGACTATGACTATTTATATTCATTTACACCTATAATTTTTTAAAAAATAATGTAATAACCAGTCAATTTTTAACATCGAAATTTTAATAGAGAAACCATGATTATTGAAGTCAACTAATCTAAAAACCCCTCCAACCCCTTCTCAACAACTGTTAAACATTTCCAACCCCCCCCCCCTATTTTGTTGACGTAATTAATGGACGCCCCTTAAGTAGACCGTATATCACACAGGCTACAGTGGAACCTCGGATAACGAACTAAATCCATTCTGTAGCTACATTATTAACCCGAAACATTCATTAACCGACATTATTTTTCTTATGTTGTTGGTCAGTCGGGAGTCGACCATGACCACCTTAATCATCAGAGTTTTTTCTGGTTCTGTTTGTGGGTGCGCAGATGGCTAATGAGGCCGCTTCTGGCACGAAATTCTCTTGTGCAGTATGTGCATAGGGGAATGATGGCACTTCTCCGGTAGCAGAGTCAGACCGGGCCTTCCTCTCATGTCTCTTGTGCTCTGCAGCCGCTGTTCTGCCAACTTCATGGAGCATGGAGCTCCTTTGCAAAGTGGAACGCAATGAAGTTCGATCCTTTGCTTGTTCCTCCCACGTGTCTGGGTTTATGTTGAACGCTTTCAGTGAGGCTTTTATGCTGTCTTTAAAGCGTTTTTTTCTGTCCGCCAGCAGACCGCTTTCCTTGTTCAAGCTCACCATAGAAAATTCTTTTGGGAAGACGGTCATCTGACATTCTCACAACATGTCCCGCCCAGCGAAGCTTGGACTTCATCAAGATTGTGAAGATGCTGGGGAGACCTGCCCGTGTGAGCACCTCAGTGTCTGGGAGTGTCCTGCCATTTAATGTTGAGGATTTTTCTGAGTATTGTTGTATGAAAGTGGTTCAGCATTCTTGCATGGCGTCGGTAGACCTTCCACGTTTCACAGGCATATAGAGAAGCGTAGGGAGAACAGCCGCCTGATATACTTTCTTATAGAAAACACATGTATTTTTAATCAATCTATTTCAGCCTTAGTAATCTGATATTTCTTTTTTTTTTTTTACATTCATTTTTAAGCGTTTTTTTTTTTTCTAAAATGAAAATATATTTAATGAACTTATATATTTTTAATTATAGACATATAACACTAAAAAATATTAAACAAAATTGTTTTTTTTTTCTTTTTTTTTTTTTTTTTTTTTTTTTTTTTTTTTTTTTTTTTTTTATATTTTTTTTTAAGTTTTTTTTTTTTTTCTAAAATGAAAATATATTTAATGAACTTATATATATTTAATTATAGACATATAACACTAAAACATATTAAACAGAACTAACATTAATTATCATGTTTTCATATGATATTACGTCTTAGCTTTAACACTAAGACGATTCCGTTCCTGACTGTATCACTTTTCTCTTATGCTGCGATTAATATGAGGACTAAAATAGCACACACAGTGCAAACAAAACAAAAATAATAAAAATTAGCGTTTTTGAAAACACAGTATTCAGACAACGATGTTTACTGCAAACCGCGCCAAAGTATCACTGAGCCAGTGAGAATGCGTAGTCAGACGTAAGAGTATTTTTGTAAACCGAAGTGCTTGTTCGTTAACCGATCTACTCGTTATCCAAGGTTCCATTATGTCATAGTAGCAGAGCAGTGAATATAGTTCTATTACTACACGATTACTATTACTACCATTGTATCTTTCTCGAATGAAGCTATCACTCTGGGACACGGCTGGCGTAGAGAAATACAGGACGTTGACCCAAAACTTCTACAGGAACGCGGATGCCGTGTTGTATGTCTTCAGCGTGAACGAGCCCACTTCTCTACTCTGTCTTAACCAATGGGAAGAGGAGGTGAAACGCTGTTCTCCATCGGGTAATTCTTCAATCTTGTCGTTAATGTTAATTATTACTTAGAGCAGTGGTTCTCAGCCTTCCTAATGCCCAATGCCGCGAACCTTCAATGCAGTTCATCATGTTGCGGTGACCCCCAACCATAAAATTATTTTCGTTGCTACTTCATAACTATGGGGTTTCCCGATGGTCTTAGGCGACCCCTGTGTGAGGGTCGTTCGACCCCCCCCCCCGGGGTCGCGACCCACAGGTTGAGAACCGCTGATTTAGAGTTAATGATTTTATCAGTTCCGTGGCGTTTGTCAGATTAAGTGGTTAAGATTTAATCTAAGAATTTCTGTCTAATGTCACAATGCAGTTTATTAAAGCCATCGGAATGGAAAGTTTCTTTGATTACCATTAATCTACAGTGACGTAACTAGGGTTCTTGCCACCCGGGGCGGACCAAGATTTTTACCACCACTTTCACGAAAAAAAATACTGTGGTTGGCCGGAAATGCCGCCCCTATATAAAAACCAAACAAATGAATAGACCACCCCTTACTTCACCACTGCTTACAATGCCCTAACTTGCAGACTTCATGGTTAGCCCATCGTCGATAATGAGGGAGCGTACATGACAAGTACTTGGTAGAGTTTTTTTGTTTACATCTTTTGCCTTTGTGGAATATAGTCATTTTTTCTGTCAACCTTTCCAATTATCTTTATTTTCGTGGGTTTTTTTCGGGGGGGGGGGGTGTCGCATAAAGCTTATATAGTGTTGAATCCACTCCATTAAAATCTACTGTAAGCTATTAAAATACCGGTAGTATAGTGTTTCCATAGAGCAGATAAGTGAAACTTGATTGTTGGAGAGGGTCGCAATATCATCCAAAAAAATCTAATAAAGTTAAATAGTCATGTCCTGTCATTTTGGGAAAGTACTAACACTTCCTACTTTCATTCAATGATTTGCGTTAGGCCTTCAGAATCTGAATTCGTTTCATTATCAAGCTTGATATAACTCTCATACATTATTATACATTTTTGATGTTTTTGTTTTTTTGATAATGTTTTAAACCCAGTGTAATGATTTTCTTCAGCTCTTCGATTCCTAATTGGCAACAAAGCAGATTTAAGTTTGTTCATTACCAGGGAATTGATGGAAGGAGAGGCCAGAAAACTCAACTGTGAAAGTGTTTTTATTATGTCTGCTAAAACGGGTGAGTCATCAAATTCCTGGCTAATTCTTTGACATATTCATTCACAGCCAGTGCAGTTTTTAAGTCCAGCTGTACAGAAAAAAACAACATAAAACGATAAAAGTATTGTTTGATATAGAATAACAAATCTTTGCAGCTACAATCTCTAGAAATGTGTTTTGTTTTCAGGTAATGGAGTTGTTGGTGTTCTTGAAACGGTCTCTAAACATCTGTTGTCTTTTCACAAAGAATCAAGAAACAAAGATGAAATCTTTTTTTCAGATGATAGCATTCATGTCAACCAAGGACAGGTGAAGAAATCTACTTGCTGCTAGCTGCTTGTGCCCGACATGTCTAGACACGGTACTCGGCTAGAGCTGAGAGAAAGACACGATACCGATGTAACAAGAAATGGACTATGTCAAATTTGCTTAGGTTTTCTTATCATTATATTAGGTCAACAAGGAGATATTTGCAAATTGGCACAAACATAAAAACGTTAATCTAAAATAGTTCATTGATATTGACAGATTTTGTCGGAGGGCATCCAGTCTCTATTATGAGAATGTTATGTTTAAAAAGACAACATGATTGAATGATTTCTTGACAATGTGTGTACAATCAGTGTTATTTTAACTGAACTTCCACTGATTAAAATTAAGTTGACTAAATAAAAAAGTATATGGTACGTGAAAACGTGATAAATGAAACAATTTCAAAGAAACCATGTCTGCCATACACCTTCTTTAGCAAACAGGAGAGGAGAAGGAAAAAAGTATATGAAGTTTAAAATAAAATTAGCTCAAAGAAATTGAAGTACCAGCTTCAAAATGTGACTTTTTTGTGTGGATTGATTGAATACTTATATAGCTCTTGTATCCATGATATTTTAGCTTGCTTACAGCGCTCTGATGTTATGAATATTGGTAATGAAATAAATAATTATAGCTTCAATGTAAATAAATGGAAGTTGGAGTAGGATTGATGAAAACAGAAAAAAGGGCTGAGGAAATGAGTCCCACAAAATAATAATTTTGAATAAAATTTAAAATATTTTCCTCCAAATTTGAGGCTGAATTTTTGTTTGAATTTATTAATTGGTTTGTTGTTAGATTTTTTTAGAGGAGTCTTTATTTCAACTATAGATGTATGTATCAAGTATGGTGATTCTTAAGTACACATAGCAGGAAGTCACATGACTAAAAACGCTCTGAACCATATATTTATCTGTATGTATATATAAAAATATCATAGGATATCTTCAAAAACAGCTTCAAAATAAACAAACACTGACCAAAGAAATACATTAAATTGTTCCACAAATTTTAATGACAGATACAACTTCTACAATGACACCAAAACACATTCAAAGATAAAATTTGGATCTATTTTAAAAATCTCTCGCAGTTTTATTATAGCCTTTTAAGCAAAGTTTTCTCACAGCTTCTTTCAAGGACCTGGAGATGTATATTTTATTGTTCAATTACATCTAGTTAACAAAATTTAATTTGAAAAAGCCACAGTATTTTTTATCCATTTGACAAAAAAAAAAAAAAAAAAAGAGAAATTTGAATACTTTATTTTTGTTCTTCTGGCCAAACTCTTTGAGAGAAATAACAAAAATTAATTTAAAAAAACCACAGTATTTTTTATCCATTTGACAAAAAAAAAAAAAAAAAAGAGAAATTTGAATACTTTATTTTTGTTCTTCTGGCCAAACTCTTTGAGAGAAATCAAACAAAATAAATTTGTGAATTTCTAAGGTAAACTCTTTTTGATTTACAGATGAGGCAGATTAAATTACAAACAAAATTCATTTAGCCATGTCTCTCAGAGGAACTAAAAAATTATATTTTATTTTAAAGTAAATAGCTAATTTAATATCTGTACACATATTTTTGCCAATTTTTTAATCATATTTCTATATTTATTTATTTTTATTCTTATAGCAATAATCATATTATTTCACATATTTGCTATCTCTTCAATCGTTCTAGTCTCAAATATTTGGACTATTACAGTTGCATGATTGTCTGTCATTGTGTTAAGCCATGATAATTAATGAATCAGGCCAGACGGGTCAGTGTCATCAAAATATTTTAGTAGCTGAGTCAAAAAAAATTTTTTTTTACTTAGGATAAATTTTTTTGTAAAGATCTTTCTTTCCCAGGACCAGATTTCAAATAATTATCCCACTGAAATCACTCAGCTGTGAACTGCCTTTGTACAGCAATACAGAAACAGCTCAGAATTAAAATTATTTTGATACTATAGAAAATATTCCTCCAACCAGGAAGCCTAACTTACTCAAGTCATTGACACAGAGGACCCCCCCCCCCCTTTAAAAGACCTTATCGAAAAAAAAAAAAAAATTGTGGTCACAGAGCAAGATATAGCCAGAATGATAGGGTTATCAACTTTTTAAAGATGTAATTTACTTTACATTGTCAGCAACAACAAAAAATGTCTAAAAGTTATCCAGATGTGTTTGAATTCTAACACTATTAAAAAATGCATCAATAAACAAAGCAACTTCAATCACTGACTTAATAAAGGCTTTGGCCAAATTCATTCCCAGACATGTTCAACAATTTCATTACAATAATATAACAATTTTCAAGGTAATAGTTGTCTTGTCCCCAAATTGGAAAGACACCTCATGGTCAAGATGTCCAGAAAGATAATTTTTGATAACACACATCAAGCCTGTTTTCATCTTTAATTTAAGATAAACGTTGGAACATAGAAAGCAAGAATCAGGCTGCTGTACACCAGGAGGCAGTCATAAACTATCACCCCACTCCGTAACACTGCAGTGTTAGTACTGTTAGTCAAGTCAAATGTTTGAATAGAGCTGGGACTACCTACTCTGAGGTGGTGTCATACAGTTGCCATCTGGATACTTCTCTCTGAATAACTTGACAATGTCTGGATCTTTCAGTCTGACACCCTCCAATTGGTTACCAAGAGTAATCCTGGAAAAGTTATTTAAAACAAAAACATTGAGCTACATAAAACTAAATCAACCTGCTTCAAAGAACTGATAATTAAAGAAACAGGACATTAATTTGTAGATGATCATATTTTCATGCGGTTGTTTTGAGATGTAATATGATCTGTTGCTGGAAGCAATATAATTTAAATCTTTTGAAATTAACATGTTGAGGTGGTCTTTACTCTTGACCAATTAAGACATTGACCAAAAAAAAAAAAATAGTTGCATATAACATAGCAATATTACACAAGATTTAGTACCAGTTTGGCTGAACATTGTGAGGTCTTCCAAACAGTTCTACTTTCCTTGTGCCAGGAGACAGGCGTTCAATAATGCCATATATTTCATCTGGTTTGTGGCTTGTTGCTCGCACCTGGCAAATGGAGAAGGCATTGATAAATGAGGATTAGATAACGACTAATGCAATAAATGGAAACAACAAAAAAATGTTTAAAAAGCAGAAATACCTCAGCTACTATGACATCACAATCCATTCCTTTGTTCACACCTTTAGGGTTGCCCTTTACACCAACCTAAAAAAATAAATATTTATGATCACAAATTAGTTTCAAAAATACTTTGGAATACTAAAGGTATATCGGTAATAAATATTGGGTTATCATTAATTTTTATTATAATATTTTAGGGGGGATATAATTTAAGATTTAAAATATTCACATCTTTCTGATATCTTTTTTGAAAATTTCAAAATAACTAATCTCAACGTTAAAAAAATAATTCCTTCACACAAAAATATAATAACACATATCACATAGCATTAAAATGATATGACACAAATTATATGGCTTGTCACATTTGGATGTAAGAAGATGCCTTGTATGGTCAAAATGATTTTTGCAATTATGTTTAAAAGTTTATTCCGTGTGTTATTTTAAAGAGAATAGCAGTGAAAGTGCCAGTGGGATGACCAACCAAACAATGTTCTTTTCCATGATTCAGCCAGTGACCTGTTCGTCCGGTACGGATGATTCTTTGAAGCTGGTTTGTCTTGACCCAGATTATTTCATCAACTCGTTTGTACCTAAAATTATGAAATTTCTTGTTTTACGAACTAATTTACATAATTGTGAGGATAAATCACCATGGTTTTCTTTTATGTTAAAGTAAAGTAGATAAAATTACTATGAAGTATATCACTGTAAGACCTATTGAGGATAAAAATAGCTAAAATGTTCATAATCAAATAACCTAAAATGGTCACCCCATATAAACAAAATTTCAAAAAACTCCACCCCAGGTTTCATTCGAAGAAATCTGCGCCATTGCCCAACTTCCTGCAAACGCGATGCCTTTCTCACACTCGTCTGCCCACTACTAGACTATGGTGCGATCGTCTTGGACCCACACCTTAAGCAAGACGTGGACAAGATGGAGCGAATTCAACGTAATGCTGTGCGTTTCATTGCACGAGACTACAAATCCACCACTTCTGGCTTCGTCACTGGCCTCTTAAAAAGATTTGACATCCCCTCAATTAAAGACAGACGAGAGAGACTCCGCCTGATATTCTTATACAAAGCGGTCATGGGACTGGTGCCGGCCATCCCAGCAGTCGCGTACCTCACTCCACAGAAGCCGGGTCGATTGATCAAAGCCAAAAGCTCACTGAACACCGACTTCACTACTGACAACCCCATAAACAATTACACCCGAAACAATAGCAAATGCTTCACTGTGCCTCGGTGCAACACAGTGCAGTATAAACAATCTTTCTTCACACGCACAATAATAGCTTGGAATCACCTGGACAATGCCGCTGTGAACTTGACATCGGTCGAAAGCTTCAAGGCTGCCCTGGCATCTGCTAGAAGCTGTTAGACTAGCAACACCATTCCCCAAACCGTTGCACAGATGCCAGTATATGGATGCAGCAACGAACACTACCAGAACCAGAGTTAACCACCTTATCACTTCCCCCATCAGTCACCAAATAACAACGTTGAGTTGCTAACTCAAGCCAAGTTTCATTTATTATATTTTGAGTTGTGACTAAAAGCGTGCAAAATGGCATTGAAATTTCAAGATATTTTAACACACAAATTTACTGTTCAGCATTGCATAAGCCTTCTTTGTATCCCATATTTCCAGAAATATGTAAATTTATTACATTTCTTTCCATGGAATTTCTATAGTACTCTTTTAATGCCACTTAATCAAAACCATATTATAATATGCAAACACACACAAAAATGAGTACAGAAGATCCGACCAATATACATCTAGACATTGAAATATATTGTATTATGGCCATATTATAATACATTTTTAAAACATATACAGGAAAGGTTAGGTTCTCATTGATTTATTTTAGAGGAGAATTTGTAAATGTCTGTCAGTGCACTTACCCCCATAACTCTAAACATTCTCGACCCAGTTCCATAGCTCTGAAATTATTCAAACAATAAACGGTTGAATTATGGTACACTTTGCCTAGTAAAAAAATTGTTAAGATTTATATAAAAAAAATAGGACAGTTTTTAATAATGAACAATAGAAATCCACAAAACAAAAACAAAGCATAAAAAAATTTGTTTTCTTGAAAAATGAATAATAATTTAATATGACAAGGAAAGCACCAACCTCCCTGTAACCCAGAGGAAGATGAAACCATCATCCTGCAAGCCTGGAATGTCAAGCTGTCTCATTTCATTGTCTCCCATGGTACCATAAGGAAGCTCCATGTGAATATCCCAGGGCGGGTCGGCCATGACCACAGCACATTTGCCAAGAGTGGACATGTCGAAGTAACGGAGATCACATTGGATCCACTATAGCACATAAAAAAAACAAGATTCAAAATTAGAATATAAGCCATGTTCCAAATTTGACACTATGAAACTGTAAAATAGTACTGGTAGCCATAAACTTTTTAATTTATCAAGAATGACAATTAAAAATACATTTATAAAAATGTTAGAACATTTGAAAAAACACATTTACTACAATTAAAACTATTATTAAGATATACAAGACTTGGTCATAGATTATTGAGTGATCAGAGCTGCTGATGTGGTAAAATGAACCAATGTGTTAGGATTAGGGTAAAACTGTATTTTAATGTGTGAGACTGACAGATGGTGGAATGTATGTGAATCAGAGAGAAAAACTGTGTGAAATACGCTATCACGCCCCCACACATACTCACACAATATATACTCACAAATGAGAAACAATCACTTGCCTGAGGGGGAAACATTTGAACACTTCCATCATCGCCAATCTCAGAGGTCAGTTTCCCCAGTGATGCCTCTTTCTTCATGAGGTCAGTTGATGGCAGCTTCTTAGGTGGATAGTCAATTTCATAGTGGACATACTGTTGAAATTAACATATTTAAAATACACATACTGTATTTCATAGTGTACATACTGTGGAAATAATTATAAAAACAATACAAATGCATAATACTATGAAAAGATATACTTAAAATAATCTAATATGATGTTAGAAATACTGTAGAGTTTACACTTATTAATTTGATGTTGGCAGTACTGTGGTTTTTGGATTCACTGATTTGATGTTGGGTGAGGACTGTGAAATTTACACTTACTAATTTGATGTTGGCAGTACTGTGGTTTTTGGATTCACTGATTTGATGTTAGGTGAGGACTGTGAAATTTACACTTACTAATTCGATGTTGGGTGAGGACTGTGAAATCTACACTTCCTAATTTGATGTTGGAACGCGGTGGAGCATATATAAACAATCAGGGAAGCAGAGATATTTATGGAGGATTGAAATCTAAAGTTGGAAACCTGTAATTACAGTTGAAATCACTGTGGCCAACTTCGGTGTGATGATGCTTACACTTACACAAAAGCCTTTGTAAGATTAAGCGTGCTAATTTTTTATCTTTTATATTTGTCATGTAAATCAAATCATAATTAGAACCCAAAGATATTAAGAAATAAGGTAACAAGTAAGTTCACTTTGCATTATTTAATTTATTTATTCACATGTTTATTATAATATATTGCAAAAAATCGCAAATAAAAAATGTTTACAGGGCCCAAAGGAATCAAAATTGATATTTTCTTAAGTAATATAAAAAAACTAAACAAAAATAACCTAACCAGTTTTTCTATGCACAAATTTAACTCTAAATTTCATATAACTTGGTACACTCTACTTGGATACCACTAAGCAAATATGAAAATTCACACTTAATCACTGTGGTATGGATAAAAACAAAATGGGCTGTTTTTTTAGACTAAATCTACCATTGAACATAAATGGGACACACTGCAGTCAAAGATATGAAAAGGAATAAGAAACATACAAAGGGTAGAGGAAAACCTAAAGAAAGACATCAGGAAGTGAACGTTTTGGCAGCAAAAACAGTTAAAGATGGAGACAAATACTCTTTAGCTTGTTGTATAGATATGTATTTAACTACGAAAGTGACTCATGAAATTATGTTAATTTCCTGTTAATCACATAGGAAAATTCTTTGATTTCAAGGTTGTTTGTCTCTGTTTTTGCTGTCAAAGGTTTTTTTGGAAGAAATGTTCATCTTCTGTTGTCCTTTACGTTTTTCCCTACCCTTGCATATTTCTTATTGTATCAATATGAACTCAGTCGTCCCAGCATTTCTCTGAAAAGGAATATGAAGGTTAAGGTTCTCATAGTGTAGGGAATAGTTGCCTCCCTTTAAAATATTTTTTAAAAAAACCCAAAAAAAACAACAAACAAACCCACCATCTTTTTATCTTTAAGAGATATAGAGCTGGTACATTAAAATTTATGAATCAGTGAAGTGCTTATTAGGTTTTTAATGGAATTTAGAGTTAGGAAAATAAAAATTTGTATTTATTTTTAACAGCATTTTACAAAACATCTGATTTATTCTATCCACGGTTCACTTTCAAGAACAGAATTTACAAGAAAGATTGTTAGGGCTAAAATGAAGTAAGACTAGTTTAAGGTAGATTATTCAATTAACTTAAATGAGATTTGATTTGATGTAAACAAGCATTAATAATAATAGCATCTCACATTCACAAATGTTCTCACATTTAAACAATCCTCTTTTTAAATGTGTAATTATACAGTGAATAGGGCCTGACCTAGCTACAGTTTTGCCACAATATGAAATGCTAATCCAACAAGACTTACCTCATCTGATCATGACTTAAAAATATCAACAACACTTTTAAGCAATGTCATTTAGATTTTATAGAAGGTAATGACAGGTAAGATATGTGGACTGGATCAGCTCCACAAACAATGTTTTGTGCACTTCTTGAACTGACTAACAAAAAAAAAGTACACAAAGACACTTAGAATAATCATCCTCAATTCAACAGATGGAAATATCAGTTACATTTAAATGAGCACATGTTAACTTTTCACAAACCAGGATAATGTTAAAATATTTGAAAGAAATTCTAAACATCACAATTGTAATTTCTATAATAGTTTTTAGAATATAAGGAAAAATCATTATTTACATAAAACATACCAACACATGAGCAACATGAAAAATATAAAACAAGTGCAGAATAAAAGCACAGCATAACAATCTTGTATATCACTGTAAAGATTAACCAAATAACATTAACTTGTAGTAGATGCAATATCAGAGTAATAACATCCATTCAATTTTTAAAGAAATAACCTTTTGAGAGAGAAAAAAAGCAAAGTTGAAATTTCAATAAATTTAATATCAAATTAAGAATTGGCAGGAAACAAAGGTTTATCTATAATAAATTTTTTAAATAAATATGTTAAAACCTGATGTACTGTTTTTTTATTATTAATTCTCATGGTAACAGATTGTCCAGTGCCTTCTTGGAACATTTACATCAATTTGTGTTCAGCCTCTCAATATATACTTAAACCTATCATGATTTTTTTTTTTTTACCTGTATTCAAATTAGCTTTCTTTTATTTATTTTTTTGTGATCTAAACTTACATGTTGTTGAAATTGTTTTGACTGACTACATATACTGACATAGTCAATTGGAGTAACCAGACATATCATCACAGTCAATCAATCACTCTGACCAGACATATTCTCAGACATTTATGGTCACACAGTCAATATGACTCAGTGATATACTTACATCAAACAATTAACCCCTGGCAAACCAATTTAAGAGCTGGTAAAGTAGACCACATAAAGTCATGGCTCAATAGTTAAAATGAGAAAAAGATAAAAATTCCATACAAAATGATCTAAAGATCTGTTCACTAATAACAATAACACTGAAGTTGACTTTTCGAAAAGGTTTTATAATTAACATTCGGTGTCAGCCACTATATTGTGCCCTATAGAATGGACGAGTATTGCTGAAATCATATTAACTGCATGTTTTATTTCGTTACCACATTCAAAATAACGTAAGTCTTTTATTTTTTTTTTTACAAACTATGGCATGGCCACATGCTACTCCCTCATTATCACAAAGTATTCCATAGCATTTTGTCTATTACTGCACCTTCCAAAGAAATGCAAGAGAATCTTTATTTAAAGACGTGTTCAAAACTCTGTATGAAAGACTCGCCTGTACATGCTAAGGCTGACTGGTGGTATGCCCCTGCTTGCACACTCATCTTTGTACATCTCATGCATCTTAGTGATGTTTAAACCTTGCTCTAAACATTTCTTTTTGACACTTTTCTTTGAACCCCTCACAGCCACTCCAAGCATGGATCCAATGTGCTGCCTGGCAGGGTCAAGGAGGTCGTCAGGAATCTTATTGTGTGGCTTTCCACGCCTCTCTTTGCCGACATAACAACCAAACTGCTTGTGCCGAAGTGCATGTGAAATAAATGTCTTTCCAACGGCCAGGGTGCCACAAAAGAATTTTGAACAAACCTGTTTCCTCGTATTGTCTGTGTCTGGTAGGAAATACTTTCTACTCACTTTTCGTTTGTTTTCAAATTTGCCTTCTTTCCTACCTGCCCCACTGACTTTGGTAAGTGTCTCCTGCACGTTTTGGCAGACAAATTGTTTCTGGCTCTCATTAGAGCCTAAGCTATAGAAGACATCAAACAACTGCTGCCTGAGGTCATAAGAAAAGTTTTCATTGCATTTAAATGTACACTGTGAACAGTCGACCTCCTCAACCCTTTTAGCCGGAATGACATTGCCTGTTCTACTCAAGTGTTCTTCACCTTTTATTTTCTTGGTTTTCGATAAGTTCTTTTTCCATTTCTCTGGCTGGCGCATACGTTTTTTCCCCGCTGCACTAGAACTACCCCCACCAAGCTTCTTTGGTTTGGTTGGCTTAGCTGGGGGTGCGGTGGACATGGCCATTGTTGTCGGGAAAACAGTTTCGGTAGACAGGGACCACGAATGAGATATAACAGGTAGGACCATGTCTAGACCAGAACAGTTGCCCATAGTTGTAACCACGGAAGCCGTTGGTGCAGGAGGTGGTGCTGTGAGAGAATACGGGATAGAGGCATAAGGGAAAGGTAACGGGCATGTCATGTCAGGTACTGATGAGGTTGAAGCTGTCGCTGAATCAGGTAGTGTCATAGGGGGGTATGATCTGGCTGAAGTGGGCCTGGCGATATTAAGGTCTGGGTATGGTCGACCATTGCTTGAGTTTGGCATGTTTGGTTGCTGAAAGGAACTATTGGAAACATCTCCAGTTTCAGGTATGGCGGCTGATTGGTAAGGAGGCATGGAAACATTAGAGTTGTCTGGTATATTGCTAGATGCATAATTTCTCAGTGGATCATCTCTAGGGGCTATTGGATAAGGCCTAACAGTATTATGGAGCCCATTGTTTGAAGCCTGAGGTAGAAATCCAGGATTGGTTACATGGCCCACATTAGAACTAGACAGGGTGGAGTAGAACTTCCCAGTCATCATGTCACGCTTGGGATCTCCATAACTGTTGTTCATGTGGTTACTGTTTTCAAAATTATAGAACCAATCTTGGTTAGTATTCTGCTGCATTGATCCTGGGGGATGAAGTAAATACAAAATAATTTGAAGTATAATTTAATTCAATTTTTAAAACTTAAGTACATTGGTAATATTTAAAAAGAGCAAATAAAAAAAAATCATTATGCAGCTATTATTTCAAGACAGTTTGCTTATAAACAATAGTCCTTTTTTTCTCATACCTTGAGTAAGATGCTGAGACCCAGGGACCATAGAACAGTTCTGTAAATTTGAAGTTTCCTACGAAGAAAATGTTACCTGATTAACAGAAAATCTAATGACCTTGTTCAGCATCTTAAAAACCAATGACAACACCAGGTGATAGACCATGCGAAACCATGAAATATCACCAAAAACTGTCATTGGGAACACAAAAATTCTATGGTGGTAGAAAGTGAAACATTTATGGGTTTTAGAAAACAAATACTCTACAGATTTCCCCAGAGAGCATGTTTAACATTATATTTAAATATATGTTACACTCATTTTGTTCTGTTTTAAAATTACTTTCATATTAACTACATTTTTAAAAAATTTATTGAATTTTAAAATCTTATTTCAAAGCATAATTTTTTTTAAAAAGTATTATTGTTTTGGTTTAAAATAAATGTTTCACTTACCACACTATAAAAAACATGTAGGGGGAATAACTCCTGAAACTGTGTCTTTCTTCCTTCTTTAGTAGCAGCAAACAAAGTTTCTTATTTTTTTTTTAAAGTACAAAAAAGTACCAAAAAATCCTATCTCTTAGGAAAACAAAAATACAATATCCGAAACTCCTTTTTAACATAATGTGTCGATGCTATTTAAGACCAAGAAGAGTCGTAAAATGACTCTTAGGACCCTGTAACCTAAGTACTTGCACTTGAGTTTGTATGGCACATTCTCAAATTCATCAATACAGACCCAATTTTAAAACTGTTTCTTTTTTGTATTAATAGATTAACTGATTTCTATCATTAGTTAAATAAATAGCTTGGAAGACCCAGATAAAACTTATGAAATGTGTAGATGACTTCACCTTATTTTTTTTGGCAATGGCCTTGGACTTGACAGATACTATTAAATTTATTGTCTGTCAATGTGACCAGCCCAATGTCTCATAGTACCTTATAGGTACTCATAAGTTATAGAAATGCTACTGCATCACAGACTTACCTTACAAGTATCCATATGAAAGCAGGTGTTTAAAAATGAGCAGTCCCCTAATGATTCTGAAATACAAGTTTAACAAACTCTTCATCCTTATTTCCAAAGAAATGTGCCAAGGGCATTTTGAATATTTTTTTTAGACACAAAAACATTTTAAAAAGACAACCACTTCTTCTTAATTATTCCTGTTCTCAAAGATGACTAATTTATTTTTTAGTAAAAAAATATTTACTTTGGTAATTATACACTGTATTATGTTTGAGAGAATGCTAATTGATTTCTAAATGCAGTGAAATAGGTTTGAAAGTTACAAGCAGATTGGAGAATATTAAATGATTTCTGACATTCAACTGGAGAAATTGAAGCACGCTTTGTTGCTTAAATCAGAGCAATATGAAGATCTCATAATACCATCAGTATGCTTGTTTATGATCTTCTTGAAATGTAGACGTTTGCACATATTCCCATCAGGCCCAGTACGATGGCACTCCTCTCTTGTCCCATACTGACAGAACTCTTGAAGCTGTGGTCCTGGAAATTTTAATAGCAGTATAGCATTATCATCATATTGTTTTAAAAATTTATAAAATTCACAGCAAATGCCTTGCAATTCTCTTTAAAACATACTAATAATACAGTTTTGTTCTTTTACTTTATTAATTAGAACTATTTCTTAACACTTCTACTGGCTTTTGGAAAAACTCTACATATTTTAAAATGGTTACAAATTATTTATTAAAACATAACTTACCGCCTCTGGACTTGAATTTTTCCACTAAATATTGTTCCTACAAAAAAATGTACAAGAAATGTAATGAGACTATACAGTAAGAAAAATCAAATAAAATTTAAAAAATCAAAGAAGAGCAAAATGTGCATTTAAGCATTAGTGCATCTTTTATCAAAAAGTCATTGTTTGGATAGAGATGAATGCTGAAAGTAAATTATCAGATTCTTGGAAATAATTGTCTATAAACAATAAAAAATCTAAGTTTTCATGTGTATAGAGCTTACACTTTACAGCACTGCTTCATTAGCAGTTATTTTAAGTGCATTGATACAAAATTATAAAAAGAAAAAAAGAAAAAACTGAAGAAAAGAGAGTCACTCATGAAAATTACAGCAAATTTAATTCTTAAGACCTGTTTACTCTTTGATTTTGGAATATAATGTACGATTTTGAGGTGTATACATTATATATACCGTATGTTTATTTTATAATATTAAGATAATGCTTTGAACAATTTTGTGATGATATTGTACAATTTAAGAGTTTGGGGGTAAACAGGTCTGATTCATGAATGGTACAGTTAAGCAACATATAAAAACAGACCAAAAAAAAACAACAAAAAAGACATAAAACCAAAACACCATAACAGCAAACAAATAATTGCTGTGAAACTACTGAAAGACTATTCCTTACCCTAATAAAATATGTGTAGACATATAAATATGTGGTATAAAGAATTGCAAAGAGGCAAATATGGTTAAAAAACAAGAAATGGCTCAGATAATACCAGCAACATCACTTTAAGCATGTAAAAATTGCAAGCAGTGGTGTCTACCTTGGCAGTTTGTGTGACAAGTAAGGCTTGTATTTCCTCATTGAGTTTTTTCTCTTCCCTTTCTTTGGTGGACTGCATGGACAGCAAACTCTGGACACGATTGATTAAAAAAGATACCTCATCACAAATGAGTTAAAAACAGACATTTTTTACAGACAACAAAATAAACGGCTAATACCAATAATAGCAATACAAAAAGCAATGATCATTTATGTCCACCTTTAGTAAAGAAAATGAAGAAAGTGATTTGTCTTGTAAAAACATTGAAATATAGGTTGCTTTACGATTCTTATTATTTGATATGTATTTGCTTTAGACTGATTTATACTTATAGTCTAAACGCTTCTGGTTAGCAACAAGATGGCTGATTCGCAAATTTGAAATTGATTAAAAAAGGGAAATTATTGAATGAGTATAAATAGGAATGTACAAAATCAATGTGGCAAGCTGGGGTAAGACTACGGGAGTAAACCCAAACTGTAATATATGGAAATGGAGACCACAAGGTCATCTGATTCCTATGTCATTTGGCAACTCCTGCAAACAGTTAATGCCCAGTTATATTGACATTTGTCATTCCTTTTGATCCATTGGCTGCATGGAGAGTGGGAATCTGCTGCCTCCAAGAAACCCGACTAGCAGTTAGTGGTAACATCAAGGAAGCAAACTACACATTCTACTGGCAGAAGAAACCCACAGATGAACCAAGGCAGCATCATGTTGGCTTCACTATAAAAAAAATTGTGACCTGCATTGAGCCTCCATGATTGGGATGGGAGATGATTCTACCTCTGCGGATTTTATCAGCTGCAGGCATTGCCAAAATATTCAGCATGTATGCTCCAAATCCCCATTTGACACTAGGGGGAGAAAGATCTGTTCTACGAGGCCCTAGGCCAAGAATAATCCTGCGTTTTCAAAACCGAAGCATTATGCATTCTGGGAGACTTTAATGCTACTGTGAGGATTCCTGGGCTATCAGAGATTGAAGGATTAATGAGAGCAGACAACGACTGCTGGAGTTGTGCTGCTCCCATGGTATCTGTGTTTCCAACACCTTCAAGTGCAAACAAAGGTCCAGCAGGTGTCTTGGTGACACCCACATTCCCACCACTGGCATCAGCTAGATGAGTACATCACGCCCGCAGCTACCAAAGTGTCAAATATGACCATTGGACCATTCCCTAGTTTCAAGCAAAATATGATTAATGACAAGGAAATTGCATCATGCTAAAAAGAAAAAGAAGTGTTTTCCACTGCCCACCACTGTGCCAACACTTACTGTTTGGACCTTTGCCACTGTATAAAATAGGCTTCCGACAATAGGGATGCAAGGGGCATGTACGAGGGCATTAGGTCCACACACTTGCAAAATCGCACCTCTCAAGTCCAAGACTTGGGTTATTATGAACCCAAATTATCAGCTTGGGCATTGGGTTGAGCATTATCTTGAACTATACGCAACAAAGATTGTAGTCTCTGAGACTGCACTGGATATCTGTGTCTTGTCAATAATGGAAGAGCTAGATGAAAAGCCAACTTTGGAGGAGCTTGAAAAGAGCAATTGATTACCTGGCTGATGGGAAGGCCCCAGGGATTGAGGGCATTCTTCCAGATGAACTCAAAAATGGAAAACCAATATTACTTAAGCCCTTACATGAGCTCCTCTGTCTGTGTTGGGACACAGGACACATTCCCCAGGACATGAGAGATGCCAGCATCATAACATTGTACAAAAATAAAGGTGACAGCAGCAATTGTTATAATTACCAAGAAATTTCTCTCCTTGTCTTAGCCGGAAAGACTTTTGCTCATGTTGTGCTAAATCACTTGCAGACTCGAGCTAACCACACTACCCAGAGTTCCAGTGTGGCTTCCAATATGGCCATATTTTAATCACATCTCTAAAGCATTTAAAGAGGTTGGACTGACCACTTGACTACAAAAAACAAGTGTCATGGCGCAAGAAACACAATCTCCTCCAAATATAACTATTGAGGGCCATAATCTGTCAGCAGCTGAGCATTGCACTTTGCTTGGGTCCAATATCTTTAGCTCATTCTCCGTTGACACAGAGCTGAACATCAGGATCACATTTAAATTGCTAAATTGAAAAAGTGGGCGTGGAAAAATGCTAAACTCACAGAAAGCACAAAGCTAAGCATCCCTCAGGCATGTGCGAGACATGATCGAAAACTCAACAGCTTCCACCAAAGATATCTGCTAGCATTTTGCAAATTCATAGGCAGGACTAAGTGCCTAGCACAGAGGTTTTGGAACATGCAAAAATGTGTAGCATGTTTTCCATTCTTAGCAAAAGGCGCCTTCGCTGGTTAGGCCATGTGAAGAGATGGAAGAAGGCTGTATTCCAAAGAATTTGCTGTAAGGAGAGATGGCAGAGAGGTAAAGACTTATTGGATGGTCGCAGCTGCGAGTTAAGGACATTTGCAAAGGGAACATGAGGGAATCCAAAAAATAAATAAATAACTACAATCATTGCACAGCATCATTCCAGCTGGCCAACAGCAATGTATGAAGAGTCAAAAAAGGGCAGAAGATGCATGAAACAAAGCCCTTGCAACAAAAAGAGCATTAAAGAAGGCTTAAGTTAACCAGAAGTCAAGGTTTTCCTGTGAGAAGTGCAGCCGAGACTGCCGAGGCATCAGCCTCGTTTAGCCATTTGATGAAGTGTAAAAAACCACTCCATCGTCTGACGAAGACAGAAGGATGCCATATTATATATACTTATAGTCTCATAAAACTGACCATTAAAGTTTAAATTTGCATTAAAATATATGATATTGTGAAATAGCAATCTTGATTGCATTGCATAAAGAAATAACTTCATTTGGCAGACTTGCAAATAATTTTTTAAGTTTAAAAAAAAAAAAAGTGATGTTTTAACAACAACAAAAAATTTCATAACTTCAACACAAAGATACAAAATTAAGTTTTCACAAATTTACCATACAGCTTTAATAACTTTATATATATGTGTATTTAGGCTTTCTGTCAATTTATCAAATTTCTGATGAATATCCACCTAGGTGTTTCAATAGAGAATTATTGTGTTTTCTTTGGACATAGAGAATTAGTTTAGTCAGGTAAACAGCTCTCACCTCGATATCTCTTGATTCTGGTCCAGATGACCTGGCCTGCTTGGTTACAAGTTCTTCATCCTCTTCATCATCACTAAGACAAGAAATGTCAATATCTTATATATTTTTATTTCTGATGTCTTTACAATTACATATTTTATGACTTGGCTACACATTGGCTGCAATTCTGGTCCAATGCTTTAGTGTCTTGACATCCATTTTGAAATGTCAAGTAGTGAAAACTATTTTGGATTTCATGCTCTTTATTAGCACAATGTACATAGCTAGTTGATTCTACCGCCTCCCCTCATTTATATGTAAACCGTTTAAGAACAGTGTTTCCCAAACTTTAAGATTGGTGGACCGGTGAAAAAGTTTCAAAATTGCACTAGGGACTGGTGCCAGATTTATTCATTATATTTTTGTTCTATTTGACCATAAATATTGATATTGTGTGGGCCAGCAAAGTAACGTTCGTGGACCGGTCCACCATTTGTAGAACACAGCGGAATGAAATAATATGCAAAATTTTAAAGTCTTTGTCAGTGGAATTTAAATAACCTTAACTAGATCCTCATCATATCTGATCTCATCAAATATTACTTATTTACAGACACATCATTTATATACTTATTTGTGGCAATAAATAAAAACACATAATAAAATAGAATTTGACAGTTAAATATATTATTTAGATTATAATTATCAGAGTTTTTTTAATCTTAATTATAAAAGTCAAGTAAATTAATGTGAGTTGATCATTATGTTTTATAGGAAATGCATGAGGCTATTTACCTATCTCTCTTTCTTTTCTTTGTATGTCCTTTTGTCACATCAGAGAGCTGAAGAAAATAAACATTTAATTAGTTTTTCAATTTTTATGCCTTTCTAAATCAGATTATTTAAGGTGCAATAATTACGCTATTATATCGAAAACCAAACACACAATTAAACGTTTCTCATGACTAACCTTACTAAGATCCAATGAATTGACAATTAAACCTGTTGCATTTTCAGTAAATCTAATACTGAAAAAAAAGGATAAAATATTTTTATTGCAATATAGCAGTACAAATATTGAACACTTTTGACCACCATCACTTGGACGTTCATCATGTTAAAAGCAACAAATTAATACATTTTCAATTATTTAACTTATTTGGCAAAGTATTGTAACTATGTGAATGATCTAAACTACGACCATGTAATTACCTTATTAACTTTTGATTAGCAAATTTTCTCAAAAGTTCCTCAATAAGAGGCAAGTCCACCTCTCTCTCCATCAACCTTGAAGTGTGCTCTGCAATCACCTGTAGAAATATCTCTGATAATTGTATCACTCTACTCATATTACCACAGTTGGAATTAATCCCAACAAATGAAAAGATGCAATTCTACCTTTCGTTTTTTGTATTAAAAAAAGGGTCTTAAGCTGCTACTTCTGCTAATTGTTATTTTTGCATTTCCAACAATTTTTTCCGGTTTAGCATTTTGGCCTTTTTTAAAGGTAAAATTAATAATTTAAAAAATAAATTTCAATTTATATAAATTAACAGATATGTGCAAAAGAAAAGAAAAATAAGTTAATTTAAGTCCTACTTTGACTTGAACAGTAAACAACACATTAAATGTAAAAACTTTAATATAATTTGGTCCTCTAACCTTATTATAGATGTTGCTTATTTAAACTTACAATAGCCCTCGAAATACAAAATGGATAATTAAAAGGACTTAAATTCAGTCGGAGTAACTAAAAACTATTTCATTTTTTAAATATGAAAAGTGCACCTTTGAATCAGAGGGAATGTCCAGACTAATGTCACATAGAACCATCAAAAGCTTCTTTTCCACTTCAGGATCAGAGGCAACTTTTGTCTCTCTCTGAAATTGCTTGATTGGACTTATAGTTGAACTTGTGGAAGGGGGTTTCATAAGGGCTTTGGAAGTTGACAGTTCTGTTTTTTTAATGATAGTCCATTTTAAAAAAAAATTATGATAAGAATTCAATCAAGAATGTCAAGAAGAAAAATGAAAATATATTTTTGGGCCCTGCTGTTTATTTGCATATCTTTAAAAAAAAATAAAAATTTGAACTTCCTAAAAAACATGTCATTTTAAGATCTGTTAAATTATAAGAAAAAAACTAACAGCCGCAGGTCAAATATATACACTTCAAGGTGCCAAGAAAAAACTGTAAAAAATTTCTGCCTAGAAGTTGACAAAAAAAAAAAAAAAAAAAAAAAGAATCTTTCAAACCAAAAAAAAAAAAAAAAAAAAAAAAACTGTAAAAAATTTCTGCCTAGAAGTTGAAAAAAAAAAAAAAAAAAAGACAGGAATCTTTCATCCCAAGTTAAATAAGGTTTAAATAACTATTAATACTAGAATGTGATTAAAATATTTATCTTATAACACCCTGCATTAGAAAATTACAAAATATAGGCTACACTCAGGGGTGACGACAAAAAAGATTATTGAAGATAGGACGATCAGCCCCTCGCTGAGGATTGAGATAACCGATGTTAAGTAACAAATTTGGCCCCCTCCTTTTGTGCTAGAGATATTAGGGTTTGGCGACATAGCCAATGAGAAAATGCTCAGACAAAGAGAGAATTGGCGGTTCCACTTCAAAAACTTCGACTTATTAGGGTTGATGAGTTAACCAAGGTCAAGATAAGTGGGTTTCACTGTACTCTATTCTTTGATTTAAGAGTTGAGGTTAGGGTAAATTATAATAGCCTGATGAAAAAACTTGAATTCCGAGGCATGTTTAAGATAATTTTTAAAGTTATCAGGTGGGTATTATGAGAATTTACAATAACAGCTAAGATGGGAGCAAACCATTTTAGCTTTGATATTTTGTTTGAATGTTGTGACATCCAGTGATTAATGTCAAATAGGTTGTTGTTTTTTGTAGCTGCTAATAGTTTTTGTTCACTGAAAAAATATTATGTGGTCTTTTCCTTCTAAGTGGTGTTTCAAACTTCTTATTAAGTCTTTAGTGTAGTGGAAAACTTGCAGGGGAATGTAAGTTAAACCTAAATATATAGGCTATTTGCTTTAAATTCAACATTAACCTCCCTTAGTATGCAAGTATTATACAAAGGCCCATAGGATATTTGCCCTCTATGAATTTATCAGCCAATATACCCGGCATTGCATGTGATGCATTCTGAAATAAATAAAATCCGACTGATTAGAACTGAGAAGAGAGTGGTAGTTTAAGTAAGCAAAAAGTTGTTTTAGAACTAGTTTTTCAATGACTTTAGATAAGAATGATAAGTTAGATACAGGTCTATAGTTTTTTAAATTATTTTCATCCAGACCAGGCTTCTTATAGACCGGCCCCGAATGGAATGCATATTATTAACTTTAAGTCCACTGATATTTCAAGATGGACTATACAGGTTAAAGCTCCCAAACTTAGCCCTTTATTCATGCAGAACCCTATATTGTTGTCCAAGCCTACTGGTATTTATATAGCTCATATCAGAAAAAATGAAATTGGGATCCCCGCCCCAAAGGAGTGGATATTATGAGTTTATTTCTCTTCGCCCTCAGCATTTGGTAAATTATAAAAATATGGACAAAAAACAAATTTTCACTTATTGTGACTTATATATAAAAATATATATATATATATCATTATAAAATTCCAGTCCTTGCTTTAAAATCAACAATAAAAGCTTACACACTGCCGTTCCTGGGGTTTCATATTGCAGATGATTTTAAATTGATTACACTATTTGATTTTTGGCGCTACTGCTTAGATCTTACATTCGGTGTCTGTAGTTGAGTGCCTAGCAAGGCTACAGAGTATTCTTCCCTCTTAGTACGTGTCGCTGATAATGGATATGAGGCTTGGCTTCTTTAAAAACCCTTGCTGAGGATTAAAAACATGCTGCCCTGAGAAAGATGCTCCTAGGCGACCGTTTCGTCCCGACACAGTCCAGACCGAACCACTCCCAGAACGGTGGGGTGAGGTAACGTAACACCTCCCCTGGAGAGGAAGCAAAGCCGCTTGGACCACGTCCACACAACTCCCAGGAACGGTGGGAGAAAGTTAAGCTTGTGACTACTCCCGGAGTGGAGGTAAAGCCGTGCCACACCAAGGAACGTACGGCTCCCTGGGCGGTGGGGGAGGCAACGCAACGCTGACCCCGGAGAGGAAGCAAAAGCCGTTCCAACCCAACATCCAGACCGTAAGACTCAATGGGCAAGGGGGGGCTGTGACGAAAAACGGTTCCCTCATGAGTGGAAGCAACCTGCCCAGAATTCCGCTTACTCAAGACCGTGTTGCATGGCCGGAGTACCCATGTACTACTAGGCCATGTTTCACGGCCAAGGTCCTAAGAGATAGAATCTCGACCTCCGAGTATTGATCTTTATTAGTCAGTGTTGAGTAGGCCTACTGCCTACTAGTTAGAGCTGTCACTCTGACTCTGGCCCTGTGACTGCAGGGACAGGGAGGCCTCAGATATTGAAGGGGCCCAAGGTTGTGCTTGTGATGTGGAAAAACATTGTTAAACAATTAACTTTGAATGCAGGGGGCATAAAACTGAAAAATGGCAGGGGGCCTCAAAAAAATCATGTGCCAGAGTAACAGCTCAGTCTAAGACAAGATTTCCAACTAATATAAATATTAGGCCTACACTACACACAGTTTCAGTTAGGGTACTATACTATGGCAAGTCATTTTTTGCAAAGACATCTATCCCAATGATTACCTGAGTTTGAACCACCAACAAGGTTAGGTGGAACTATGGAAGGTGCACCACCACTGCTTGTTAGTTGTGCTGCCAAACCCTCGAGCTGTCTCCTCCGCTCTAACATCTTCGCTTTCAAATCACTTTGTCTATTTTTGAGAGCTTGAATATCATTACATGCATCCGACATTTTCAGTGATTATTGCATGCAGCTCCAAATTATTGGAATATTGTATTTATTTCAGCACAAATTTATAAACTTTTCACCGAAAATTGTATTTACTTTACATATGAAAACTTTCAGCGGCCATTTTGGAAATCTATACTCCATTAACCCATAAACCGGAAACTTGAGTTGTATACATTTGATACCGTGTTTGAAAGTGTTTTGTTGTTATACACAGAAACTGTGACTGTGAGTGTGATGTGCCACTTGCATTTCATAAAAACTAAGTAATTGAAATAAAATATTCTATGAGTAATAAAAACGAAGCCTTTAATTTACTTACATCACACAAATATTTGTCAACATAGTTGATGAGACTAAACTTAATATTTATTATGATATGACCCAAGTCCTAAGTCGTAAACTACTAACTCTAACTCTAAAAAGTTAAAGTTAGTACTAAGGCTCTTAAGTTAGACACTAACAATTAATTAACAGTAAGGTGGCTAAAACTCCGATATAGCGTTGGTAATTAATAACATTAAAATAGATCCAAAACAGCTTTAATAACATAAAATACACCCAACAAAGACAAAGCTGTAATTAACACAGTTTCAAGTTTATTTCAAGTAAATTTAAAGCATCATTCTACTCTGAAACACAACAGACTGTCTAATCACGGATAGTTATTGACAAGCCTAATCAGGAAGTTCGGAAACATGTCTGTACGTCGAAACTGGTTATGATAGGCAAATGAGGGAAACAATGCACGACTAGTTCCAAATTGTCTTCTTAACTTCCGCTTCGCTCTCATCCACATGTTTTCGATGTTCTGGGTATAACCGTATGCACTTCGCTGTCATCAGGATCCACGAAATTATGATCGTGAACAACAACAGAATGCTCATATATTCTGTGTCCGATTTGATCTATGTGTGCGTATGCAGCCCAGCCATCAAAAACGATGTGTGTCCCTGGCAAGATGTGAGCATCTATAAAGGCTTGTAGCGTGTCTGCGCGCCTGTCTGGCACTTCCAACAAGAAGCACTTGCCACTTCTTCGCTCAATCCTACCGAAGACCCAGTGGCCATCCCGCCACTGACCACGATGATATTTCCTGTGGAAATATTCCGCTTCATCTATCTCCACAATTATAGGCTCTCCATTTACGTCTATTCCACCAATTTTGGTCGCATTAAGTTCCAGCCAAGTTCCACACTCCTTTCGCATGTATTTGCACCATTCAATTACAAGTTTTTCGGCAACAACTACCTCGTGCTGTATCTGCATCTTTGGCATATCATACGACCAACAATACACCATGGCCATGGTGACAATTTGTTGTAATGATAAGTGACTGCCTGAAAAGAAAGAACTGTGTCGCACAGATAGGCGGTACCCACAACGGTCGCATGCATATCTCCTACCATCAATTCCCTGCTTATACCAATTCAAGGTGCACGGCTGATTGCATATTCCGCATGATGCTGAGTTGCGAATCAAATTGCGGCAGGCACACCACTGTAATGCTGAATCAGGTGTTTTCAAGTGGGGTGAAAGCGTCGGCAATCGCTATACTTCATTTAACATGTTGTTTTTACTCAGTATTTCGTTCGGTGGTACAATAGTCGACGTTCTTGGTCTTCCTGCCATTGTGGATTTATGTCACAGAACGGGTTTTACGGTATGTATCCCTTCAACTAGTGTCCTTAGAGTCCTCAAACCTCCACCTTATATCTATCCCTCGTGTGACTATAACCTCTACTAGATAACCATCCCACGGTCATTGAACTGCTATATCATTAAAGAAAAAATTCTCCGACCGGATCCTTTTACCCCTGGACGTCTATTCCATGTCCCTACCAAGCTATTAGCATCTAACACGTTGAGACATTTTCCATTACTGATAATTAATCTAACTCTACCCATGGTCTTGTGAACATTCCACTTCCACCTGCAAACTTAAACCGTGTTAATCGAAAACATGTGTGATACCCACTCCCACACTGTCTGCCATGGAGTCCCCCTTTTCTCCAAACTATCATGTCTTCCCTGTACTACCATAAACTGTGCCGATGTCAGGCTATCAATTCCCTCATCTATTGTACCTTTGTGCGATACCTACGCTACGCCCATCGCTCCCGTCTCCAGCATGGCCATTTGTGACAATTTAAATAATTTAAATTTCTTTTCACGTATAAACTTCCTGTTAATTGCTAAAGTATTTCTGGTATGGTAGTTGGGGCCGTCTATCTAAGTATGCAATTACCGACGCTATATCGGAGTTTTACCAACAGTAATTAACAAACAATTTGAAACATTACTTTACTAATTACTAGTGATACTGTTCATAAAATAAATTACACTGACTAACACAGTACCAATTTAATAGTTTGGTCAGTTTATGCAATTAGTATGTATGTTACATTTACTTACACTTACATGATACTACTCAGTTAACAGTAAATTATAGTATTATACTAATATACTATATAAACACAGTATAAATAAGTCATATTTTTATAGAAATTATAGCCTATATAGTACTATAGTATAGTGTAGGGGTATGTAATGTAGGGTCATGAGTCATATGGTTCATTTGTTTTTCATAAATAATCAACTTATTTCATCATTATTATTAAAAGTATTTTTAATTAAATTATTTTATTCAAATTGTAGTGTACAGGAGGGCGGAAAACTCTTCTCACTTCTGTCTTCAAAGTATTAAACATACGTTATTGTTTTGGAACAGGCTTATGTTGCCCAATTGGATGTTTTATATCTATGACTATGGCCATAAATATTATTTTATAGTCTATATTACTAATTACTACAAGAAAGAAAAATGGTGATACTAGACAGCCCTGCACTGCAGTACCCCTGACTCGAAAGACTCTTTTAATTTTTTTCTTGCCCTCATGAATAGCACTGCAGTGACTGCAGCTCATATTAATATTAAGATATGTTTTTAATTAGGCTTGTATTGGGTAGGATGCATCCTAAGCATATTATTATGCGATGGTAGATCATAAACTGACATAAAGGGTAGTCCTTAAAGGACGTCCACAGAGATGGGGGTAGGGGACAAGTTTAGGATCAAACTAACAAAAATAAGTGAACAAATATTTTTGAATAACCAGTAGCAAAATATGAAAATATTTATATTTTTGATGATGGCCATCTCATGTACCATTTCTTACACTTTGGTTAAGACAAACTCATCCCTTGCCATTTACTTCTTGATTGTAATTAGTGAGTTTACATGTAACATTGCTGTTGTAATCCCTTGAGTTTTGCTTAAGAAGCTGCCTAGCACGCCATTCCAAGGTTGTATTGACCATCATTTGTCTCATAAAAACTTTACCAAACACCAAATCTCAGTTTGTATTGCTGCATCACTTAAAATTACAAGTTGATCTCTGTTCGGTCTAGGTCTCCAACTGTCATTTTGTTGTCACTAAATAGTTGGTGATTTACAAAGAGCTTCATGTATTTTTACATGAAGCCAATCAGCAGGCAGATAATGAAATATAAGGCAATAGCAAACTGAACACCAGAAGAAACAGATTACTAATACAGCAAAATTAGTCCATCCTATTATATTTTATAATTTATAAACACCAACCCTGTTTCATTTTGTTAATCGCTAATCAAGTCAACTTGGGTTTCAATTAACCAGTTTATTTCCGCTTATCAAATTAAAGCTGACCAATCATGGACCACTTATATTTATAACCCCTAGTTGTCTAATGATCAACAACTGTTAAGACAAAAATAAATTCTTCTTTACTCCTAGCTGACCTGTAACAATAGTGTTCCCTCAAGATCACATAGGTGCGCAATGTCTCTGGTTCGCACCCACTGCCAGCATCACATTCCCTTGTCCTCTAATCCCAAAGAAACATCAATGTTTTGACCGTGGTCGCTTTTAATGCTGGTGGGATCCTATTAAACAGCAGAGTCTTTACGCTTCGCATCACATGCCTGGGTGCTGTTTCACGCTGTTTCTCTGGTCAGCTTCTTATGAGGACTCTGAAACTCTGACCATGTCATTTTTTTTTTACTGTTTCTTCATTTCAAGATCATCTATGACTGAAACACAATCGCAGAATGTGGCTATGAGAAATTACTTGCGTAATTTATTTTTCTTTGCTTTTATTTAAAATTGTGTCAAATGTTTGCCTCTTTATTAAGTTTTAAGAATTTTTAAACAGAATGAATCTTCTCAAGGCAGCCCACCATTTAAATTATGATTTTTATTTGAGTGTAAAAGAAATTCTACTTTTGTATCGTTATCTACTGAACCAGTTGTATTTTGAATATATAAAACAAAAACGTTCCTTTATAATTTAAAGGAGTAATCTTGATCTCTTATTAATACTATTTTCATTTACTTTAAATAATGGTAAGGAATAAGTACATGTACTACTTGCCACTACATTCCAGTTCAGAGCAGTCCAAGGAATAAAATATGGAACAGGACACGATAAGAAGTGTTACAGTCAAGCCACCATCATTTATGTCTATACTTACTGGTGAATGGACAGAGTTGGCAGAATCTGACAGGGTAATGTCATTGTATCTATCCACATGAATTTTGTTTTAAATGATAAAGGCATCTAATGACATCTTCTCTAAGTTTAAGACTGACTTTTTAAAAGACTGATTAAATGTGGTTAGAGTCTAATTAAATTTGGTTAAATATTTACAGTTAGGAAAGTGCAGAAGTGTTACAGAGTTTGAGAAGTTAAACAGAGTAGGAGAAGGAACTTATGGCATTGTTTGTAAGTATTTGTATATTTGGACATGGATTTTTGCATAGCTTTTTAAGTAATATATATTTGTGCATGGAGTTTATATCAATAAAAATCACTACCTAGGGATATTATTTTTTTTTAAAGGACCAGATTTTACTAAAAGATTATATAACATTTTCAGACAGAGCTAGAAATACAGAGAACAACAAAATAGTTGCACTAAAAAAGATGAGGTTGGATACACAAAAAGATGGTAAGCAAAATGCATTTATTATTTTATTATCCTTTAAATAATGTTATGTCTTTAACTTTTTAACCCTCGAGCTTGTTTTTTAAAATGAATTTTTACAAGAAATGTGGGCTTTTGATTTTCTTTAAAATGAAAATAATCATTATCTGTATATTATTAAACCTTTGAATTTATAATAATTATTTTTTGTGGCAAGAGATTATTATTTACTCAGTTCAAACTTAAGTTAATTTTTAACAATTTATTCAGCTCAAACACAAATATAATATATATGTAATAAATGAATTTTAAAACCAGGTATTCATATCACTGGGCTTAGAGAAATCAATATATTACTAAATATACGACACCAAAACATTGTTCAAATGTCTGAAGTTGTCGTTGGAAAGAGTCTTGAAAGGTAACATTTAAATAAATTCTTCAGCATGTGTTGTTACCTTTTTAAAAAAAGATTATTCTATAAGTTATAGGAAATTTCTACACTTCAAAAATTTCACATCATATTGGTTTAAAAAACCCTGTTTATTTCAAATTTAAAAATATATCAATTTAATATACCAGTTAATAAGGATTTTTTTTTTAAATTCAGCATTTTTCTTGTTATGGAATATTGTGAACAAGATCTTGCCTCTTTATTAGACAATATGGCTGCACCATTTTCTGAACCTCAGGTCAGTAACTTTTTTAATACATTTTTTTAATGTTACTCCTCTCTCTTTTGAAGATTATGTTTGACTTTTAAATGGGTTCCTTAAGTCTGGGTACTTAATGTGAACACTGTCTGAGAATAATTTATATTATACAAGAATATATATATATGGCATCCTTCCGTCTACGCGAGACGATGGAGTAGCTATATAGTTCTACACTTTGACGAGTGGCCTACTAGCCCAATCCTTGAAGGCAATCACGGCCGCATCTCTCGCAGGAGAATGTTGAAACCCGGTAAATTCTTGATTTTTGAATTGTTCTTTTTGATTCGAGGGCCTCATTTCAAGTAACTTCTGCCTTTCTCACTCCTCCAAACACTGCTGTACGCCAGTTGGAGCGATGTTCGGCAATGGACTCCCATTCATTTATTTCAATATTGGCTTCCCTCATGCTTCGTTTGCAAACATCAATAAATCTCAGGCGCGGTCGTCCAATGTCTTGTCCCCTCTGCCAACTCTCCATATAGCAGAATCTTTGGGATATGTCCTTCCTCCATTCTCCGTACATGACCTAACCAGCGAAGGCGTCTCTTTATAAGAAAGGAGAATATGCTAAACATGTGTGCACGTTCCAAGACCTCCACGTTAGGCACCCTGTCCTGCCAACGAATGCGCAAAATGCGACACAGACATCTTTGATGTTGAGTTTCCACTCCTGACTGGTGTATGTGGTCCACACTTCGCTACCATATAGGAGCGTGCTAAGCACGCATGCCTGACAGACACTTATTTTTGTTTTATCAGTTAGATTGAGATTATTCCACACCCGCTTATTCAGTTTAGCCATAGTTGCTGCTGCTTTTGCAATCCTAATATTGATCTCTTCATCAACGGAGAGAGAACTAGAAATATTGGATCCCAGGTATATGAAATGATCAACAACCGAAAGATTATGACCCTCAATAGATATACAAGAATGGCATTTCAAATAATGGTATACCATTTGAGCTAATTTTATTCTAATTTAAACAATCACTTGTAGGGATTTGAAATAGACTGAAATTGAAATGTCATCTAGGGTGATTATTAAGGTATTTGATACCTTAGCCTTGGGGTATTATAATGTCAGCTCTGAACAATGCCTGAGATCAAATTATATTCAAAACTCAACACATTTCTAGTTATAATTTATCATTAAAAACATATGTAAATTATTAAAGGATCATATCATGGCAGTCTTTATGTAAATAATGATGAATAACTAAAATCTCAGTCAAGATTGTAAGTAGTTGTATTCATCTCTGCTCTCTCCCACCTTGTCAGTGTATTTGGGGAGTCAAAGGCTTAATCCTTATTTAATTTGATCACAGTGTTGTTACTGTTACTAATATTTTGTCCTGCAGTTGCAATTTTTATGTTCCTAACATGTACACAAAATGTTCCTCTTACAGGTTAAGTGCATAATGTTGCAATTATTTGCGGGCTTACAGTATCTTCATGAAAATTTTATTATTCACAGGTAAATCCCAAAATATGGCATTAGTTTTTATAATTCTATAAGAATTTCCTCAATGCAGATGACTAAATTTGTTTGATATACCTAGTTTTGGTAAAATACTAATCCATCTGTAAAAATTGTCTTCAGAGACCTCAAGGTATCCAACTTACTAATGACAGATAAAGGATGTGTCAAAATAGGTAAGTGTTCCTGATTCAACTGTTTTTCCCCATTAGATCTAGTTATATTCCATCTCTGAGCACTCTTCAAAACATCAAATGTAAATATAAAGTAGACAAAGCTTCAATAAAATGAAAAATTTACATTGATTTTAGTAGAGAAAATTTTAAATTATATTCAAAAGACAGTCAAATTTAGTGGCTTAAAATATGTAAACTTGTAGGCAAATGACAAATACAGTGCAACATTAGGGTGCAAGTAATAATATTACCCTCACTTGGATTTTAAATTGTTGTCTTTTCTTGTCACATTGAACTTGTTGAGCGGGCTTTGAATACGCATTTTAAATTAAAATCTGATTAATCATTTGAATGTCTTTCTGGAACTCAGTGTTGATTATCCCTTTTTATTTAAAGCTGACTTTGGTTTAGCAAGAAAATATGAGCTTCCACTTCGTCCCATGACACCTACTGTTGTAACTTTATGGTTTGTACACATCATTCATTATTTTTTTTTAAAAATGTTTATTTTATAGCAGTGCTTCAAAATATAATTATTTTAGAAAAGTTTGATTTTCTTAAAATAAAAACTTTAAACTTACTTAAACTTTTATACAAGCAAATGATTTTTCTTGCATTTATGTCTTAGATTATTGCATTTATGTCTTAGATTATTGTATTATAATCCATCAAGCATTCTTTTTTAAAGCAAATCTGCCTTTATAATATTACATTTCAAAACTGATTTTATTGCCATTTTAAAGGTACAGAGCACCGGAACTTTTGCTGGGTTCTAAAACTCACACAACTGGGATTGATATGTGGCAAGTTTTTAAAAGCCTTTTAAAATCTCTGAAAATGTTGTGATTAGCACTTAGAATGGTATCAAGTAATAAAGCTTAATTTTTAACATTTCAGACTAATACCAGTACATGAAAGTAAAAAAAAAAGTTAATTGTGCCTTACTGTATAAGATACTGTATAAGATATAAGGTAGAATTTCTATGAAATTAGAGAAATAAGTCTTCAATGCAAAGATTTAAAGAAAATAAATTCTCTGATCATTTCACACAATAATTACAATTTTAAACAAAATAATTTGTCATATCTTTTTGTGGAATAAAAAGCCTAAGAATGATTTTAGTTACATTTTTTTTTTCTCATTTAATGTGTTTTAAATTGTATCAAAAGATTATTGTAAAAATCATTCTCAATTGCTAAAAATGCTGCATCAGTACAGAAATTGACAAATAAGATCTTAAAATCAAACTCAATACCATATTTTATTTATGTTAGAGCCAGCTCATTACACAATAAGAACCTTGACTAATGTGGCAGAAGTTTGTCTTACGGTACAACAAATTCACCAAAACATGATTTTAAATATTCTCTTTCTGGCTGTAACTGTTAATTTCTTGCTAAAAAACTACCAGTTATTGTAGTAAAAAAAAATTGGGGCTGTATATCTTTTTAAAAATTACGACTTTGAAGGTTTATACAAAATATGTAATTAGAGATTTTAAACCTGTTAAAAAAGAATTAATCCTTTTTGTATCAGGTCATCAGGATGTATAATGGGTGAACTGCTTGCCCATCGTCCTCTATTGCCTGGCCGATCAGAGCTCCATCAGCTGGATTTAATTTTGGACATGTTGGGAACCCCTAATGACACTATCTGGCCAGTAGGGGAAGCATACTTATATACTCATATTTTCTCTGATGAAAGAAAAAAATGTGTTTCCTTCTTTTTCTTTCATTGTTAGTTGTATCACTTAAATGAAATTATTTTGAGATTCATCTCCACCTTCTTTTTCATATTTAAACCACCGTATTCTTTGAAAGAATGATTTTACAAATATTTTACTTTGGTTAATAAAGCTTTCCCCTATCTGAGTTTCTTCCCTTTCAATGCCATGTTTCTTTCTTTAATCTAATTTGTGTACTGTATGTTCTTTTGTGAAACTTACACTATTTTTCCTTTTTAGGAATTCTCAAAACTTCCTGCTTTGGAGAATTTTTCTTTGAAGAAACAACCGTGAGTGATTGCAATATAAGTAATTTAAGTTAAGGCAACTTAATCATTCTTTAGATTTGGCATAAATTAATTTAGTTATCTATTACTAATACTTACAATCTTAATGTTTTGCAGCGTTACGTTGAGTTAGAGGGGCTTTCTATACCTTATATTATATTGAGTTAAATATTTTCAGCTACAATAATCTGAGACACACATTTCCTTGGCTCAGTGATGCAGGAATCAAATTGCTTAATATTATGTTCATGTATGACCCTGATAAAAGGTAAGGACTTAAGTTTATGTAAAAACATACCTTTATGTACACCTCAAACTTAGTTTCAGAAAAAGGTGATTTCTTTTTCATCATTGGGAAAATATGCCTAAACTTTTGGTACAAATTACAGTAGAACTCGGTTATGTCGACGGCCTCAGGGTTTGCCAAAAAGCATCAAGATAACCGATGATGGAGATAGCCCATAACCAATATGGCGGAAATATATTAATATGCCCTTGAAATTTCTTTATGTACATGATGTGCGTTTATAAAAGCAGGTACCGGTACTTCAGTAAAAAAAAAATAATAATTTTTTTAAATATTACAGTTATTTAGAGCACATTTCAAATTAAAAATTAAACCAGAATCTTTAACTTTAGTACTTTATGAGCTACAAATTTTTAAAGTGCGAGTTCGTTTGGTATTTTCTACTATGGACAAAGCCTCCACATCCTGTGACCTCATTCTGCTGATCGTGTCTTGCGCAATGACTATATGGTTTATATAAGGCGGCTCATCCCCTTATTACTAAAATACTATTTAGGGACTACTTATTTTGAACTTCAATTTGGCACATGACTATTTAATTAAAGCTTTCCCTGACCAATGGTATAATAGCTTTTGCACACGGCAAACTCTTATGAATGAAACTCTGGCGTAGTACCACAGCAAAGCTGTCATGCAAGTGACCGTGAATGGCTGCCCATGACAACGTTTTGCACACAGCATATTATGATCATTTATAATAATGACTCTATCGGGTTTTTAAACATCGAATTAAAAGATATTTATTGAAATTACTTCTAGGTTCCTTCTAAAACACAGTCCTGTATTTTGAGATACAAGTGGCAAATTTGGCCACCTTTTGTGCTCAAGGTATCAGGGCTTGGCGACATAAAAGAATTGACATAACTGAGGAGAAAATTCTAAGACAAAGAGAGAATTTGGGGGATCCACTTCAAAAACATCAACAAAACAGGGTTGGCAAGTTAACCGAGGTCGAGATAAGCGGATTCGACCGTAAATGTTTACATTAATTAAAAATGAGAAATTTGCACTGAAAGCAAAGTTATTTGGCTTTTGTACAAATTGAAGAAATAGATAATGCAGTTGATAGCATTTCTAAAGATAAATTCCAGAGAATCCTCACACACTATTAAACCAGTTTAAAGAAAGTTATACAGGTCATCCTATTAGATGATGCTAACCTGGACATTTTCTTGCAAAAAATTGTAATTTATACCAATGGACATTAAACCAATAAGATTGTATTAGTATTAGTAATAATACAGAGGCAGCTTACAGTCACAGAAAATTAAAATGCCAACTTGTAATAACAATAATAAAAATAATAAAGTTTATTTGAAAAACACGCTTCATCCCCCAAAAGCGCGAAGCGCGGTACAAAGTCAATCATATTAAAAAGAGAAATAAAAACAATCTAAAATTTACCACATTTAAAAACAGACGCAATAATATAAAACTACATACAAGCATACCAAGTAAAAGTCTTTCATCCTGTTTCAACCATAAGCAACACAAGCCAATATACATTAACTGAAAAAGATGGTAGATAACATCACCCCAGAAGGTGTTTGCGAAATAGATGTGTTTTTAAATCGGTTTTAAAGGACTCCAGTGTCTGACTGTTTCTGAGAGATCCTCCCTATATTTATTAATGCTTTTAGAATAGTTCAGAAAACATATATATACTTTGAACAAATGGTAGCTGGAAATCTTCTATCTCTCAAATTAAATTTATATGGATTAGCCAATGAGCAAATTGTTTGCAGTTTTCAAAATGGAAATCATGATTTTATTTTGTTCATTTTACAGGTTAGTATTAATAAGATTATGAACTTTTGTATTGTACCATGTTGTTCTATTATATTTCTGTTGTATTTGTGCACATAACTTCATTACTGGGTAAAAAGTTATGTTAAAACTTAATTATTGTTATACTTATACCTTACTTTAGTTATGAAAAATGAATGTTTTCAAAACTTCAACATTTTTATAATAACCTGTGTAGTTAAGTAATCACTTTTGTTCTTAAATAACATCTTTATCTTTGTTTGTGAATGAATATCAGTACCTGTGAATCTTCAAGACTAAGGGTTTTATCCCCCCCCCCAAAAAAAACAAAAAAACAACAGACTTAACTCTCTGAATACCATCATCAAGGATTCTAAAATATGTATAACATCTTTCTGCAGAGCTAGTGCTGAAGATTGCATACAGAGTTCTTATTTTAAAGAACAACCACGACGTAAGTTATTTTTTATGAAGAGTACCTGATAGTTCTTTCGATCTAAAATATGAATCCAAACAAGGAGCCTTAACCCATGAACAATGGCATGCATTATTCTGTGGTGTGGAGCTTTTCAGAACGTTTTGAGTGCCATTTGAAACTGCATTAAATGACATAGAAATATTGATACAAGACCCCTATAAGTGTATATTTTTAGAAAGGTAAATGGATGGGGATAAAGTTGGCCATATTGCTCACCCTGTTTTTTTCGGCCGACCACAGTTCAATAATACTATTTATATACCTGTATGTTAATTTTAAATGAAATATTAGCAAACGATAAATGAATCAGAAAAAAAATGCATGAAGCTTTAAATATTAAATTGAACTTTATATCTGTTACACTTCTTTTTTAAAAATAAATAGCTTGCGACCCAGAATTTATGCCTTCATTCCCACAACATCGCTTGAAAAGAAAACAATCCAAAGCAGAGGGGAAAAAAAGTAAAGAAAAAAGGTAAGTTTAAAAAAAATTAAATACTTTGACCAGATGGGGGGGGGGGGGGGGGCACAGTTCACTGTACTTAGACACTTTTGAAGGGCTGGACTATAAGTATAAGTTTGAAAAAAATATGAACGAATTCCTATGAACACCTTTGCTGTAGTGCATCATCACTTCCTTCAAGTGCCACAAAAATAGCAATTGTTTAAAAGGAGTTTTGCAAATGCTGATGCAAATGTTCTTTAGTCCTTTGTGTAACTGTAGTGGCTGCAGAGTGCTGAAGTATTGTCTACTTGTGTATATATACTGCTGGCTGTGGATTACCTAATCAACGACCGCAATGGGCATTTTCTTGGGTATCTGTAGAGTGGCTAGGTTAAGGACGCCTGGTGGGCCCAGGCTGGTCAGAGTTTGATGACCCCAGGACTAGCTATTTACTGAAAGGGTTTCTGCTAGACCAGTGGTTCTCAACCTTTTTGATTTGCAGAGCACCTTATTTGGATCAATTTCTATGGGGGGAGCCCCTTAAGCCTACCTTATCTCTTACAATTACAAGTAACTAGTGATTAAGAGTTTCCTGGAGTGGTCGTAGGGCCCCTGAGAAGTGCATGGAGAGATCTTATGGCTCCATAGAGCACCGGGAACCACTATGTCAGATTAATGAACATGTACCGAATTTAAACTAAATAGGATTATAATATACTTAATGATCTCGTTTCACAGAAAGTCATTGGATGATTCTTTTAAAAGCTTTGGAGACTCAACAACAAACGCTCCATTGTAAGTTTTTAACGATATTAATTACCACTATTACCAGTACTTAAATGGCATTCAAAAAATTCTGAAATATTTTAACCCTCAACATCTTCTGTCCAGTTTATCAAGCCAGATTAATTTTTTTAGTTTGTGATAATGAAAAACCACTAATGATTTTAATTTGCAACTGAAAGATAACATAGCTTTTGAATTAATAAAGTTAATACAGTGAGTTAAACAAGATTTTTGTAATGAACATTACCATGTGGCATATGGGGCCACCCATAAAGTATGTCATGCTATTTTTGACAAGTTTTTACCCCTCCCTCCCCATCACAATCTGTCACAAATATCAGACAAGAGATTGACCGCAATTGATTTACTAAAAACCGCCCGCAACTTCACCAAAATTTAAAAATGACTTTCGGTTAAAACTGAAGCCAAAAGCTTAACGAGACTTATGGCCAAAACCGAGAGAATGAGATATTTGAAACTTGTTTGCGCATAAATTTTGCGTACATCGAAAAATCATGGGGGAAGTATTGATATATATATATAATATAAGGCGCCAGGTAATGTTGCTGTCATCGGTATAGCTATTTGTAGTGTGCATATTTGGTGTAGAGATTATTTGCTTACGATTGTATTGGTGATGTTTTTGGACGTGAGATGCTCAAATTTGAACAATCCGAAATTTTAAAGGCAAATTGGGAAAACCGAACGCCAATTGAAAAAGTATGAGTAAATAATTTGCACCCAGCAGAACCTACCCAGCCACTGTCAGGAAAGCCATTGCTGCCGTTTTTCACAGTGCAAATGTGCATCCAGAGAAAAGCAGATATTTTAAAAATATATCCATCCTGAGTAGACTCTGTGACCGTGACCCAAAGTGCTACCCTTTGCTTTTCCTTTATCTGTATTGCTATTCATGGCCCCAGAAGACCAAGCCTTGGAGAATGGAAGAATTAAAAAATTATATGTGCAGAATTGCCGATTACAGATGCCTACCCGAGCCTACATGAAATCATATACACGGCACATGTGGCCATTAAATCCTGATATGTAGGTGCACCAATAAGGGATTACAAAATGTATCACCAAAGTGATCTTGTGGAAAGATAAGTTTTATACCAGGAAAAGAAATTGAAGCTGTACAGCAAAAAGCCACCAAGTCCAAAATTCTGTCTTGGTTTAAATTTAAACTTAACCAGGAAGTCACTAATGACCAAGAGTATTAACTCTTAGTGTCCGTAGGTCAAATCCACGTTTTGACGCAGTAATTTTGTTGCCCCTAGGTGACCACAGACAATATTTCATAACTTTTCGCGGAAAATTGCGATAAAAAACAAATTCCTTGCACGTTTGAAAAATGTAAACACCTGAAGAGGATGTGGAAATAATGATTTGGACAAAATACAGGCAAATACAGCAAAAATCCAGTTCATCCATCTTGTTACGTAGTGATCTAATGTTTCCCAAAAGAACAGGTGAAAGAAAGCCTCTGTTTCTATATTTCACACAAATGCCTCCCCTTCTTCCCCACTTTCTTCGTTTCACTTGTGAATCGGTCGCCATTTGTTGTTGGCATGGCGAAATTTTACAAAAATGGCGGAAGTGACATTTTTATGCTTGTCTGAGTAATTTGATATCTAAAGTCAATATTAAAGCTGTTTCCCGCGAAGAGAAACACACAAAACTCACAAGAAAATCTTCCTCCATTTTTACAAGAGAGCAGAGCAGCGCCCCGGAAGTATAAAAAACATTAATTTGAGGTCGAAATTGCCTCAGGTAATATAGGTACCATGAAACTCAGTCGTGCAGACCTTCTGCGCATATAGAAAAATGATGCAAATACTGTTGTGGCCATTTTACATTCGGCTTGTGGATGACTTCGTTGTTTCACGTCAGTTTTCTAATAATACTACATCTTAATCCATTATTGGAAAATGTTAAAGAATGAAATAAAATCTTAGATTAGATATAAAAATTTGATGCATCTTTTGATTTTATTAGGCGTGAAGTGATGAAACGGGTGGGGTGGGGGGGTGTGTAAAGCATTTGTGACTGGGGGGGGGGGGCGGGGTGTGTCTAAAAAAGGTCGTTTTTTTTTTTTGTGACCTAATTTGCGAACGACCCCATGCCCCCTCCCGCACCCTGTCAATGGAAGGGGCAGTTCTTATATTAATATTATATGCATATGAAAGCATGGAGGTGAGGGATCATCAGAATGTACCTATGTATGCATAAATTCTACAATAATTATCCTGACAGTCTCTTATAGAGCCATCTGTCACCTAAAAATCTGTTTAATGCATGATTTCTTATAAGGCAATAAAAATATCACATTGTTTCACAATAATTGGCATACTAATGCTTTTTGTTTTCATAAATAGCTCGCTAGATGTCGCTAACATTTAGCCTAACGACAACACAATTTCAGTTAACTTGTGAAACCAAAACTACCCTAAAAGTGACAGAATGGCAACTAACCGCGCCAAAACAGACATTCAGTCTGTCTTTATCTCAGGAACACCCCAACCCCCCCTTAAGTATGTCAAACTTTGAACTGAAAAATTAAAAGCAACTTAAAATCTAATATAAAACACACTTCACCATTAAATTAAAAGTATAAGTGACATCTTCTGTCATAATACATCCATCACGATAGAAAGTTAAACTAAACATCACTTTCAAATTTAAGTTTTATATGCAGTATGAAGTATCAGTACTTTATGAACTGTCCCTCTCGACTTGATGCCCACTTAAATGTTAATTTACCATACATCACTTTTTTTTTACATTAACTGATAGCTTATGTTTTTAAATCCAAATGTGATAAGTTAAACTAAATTAACACCCCCAAAAATATTTTAAAAGAAACTAAAAATTAAATGATAACCTTTTTTTTTTCCACTTCACAGGGTAAAGAAAAGCAGAAGGGATATAAGTTGAGATGTTATTCTCTTGTTCATTTTGCTCTGTAAACAGTTTCCATTAAAAAATTATCTGATTACCTCAAACTTTTCAGTTCTTTTAGTGAGCTTTTTTTTTTTAGCTATTCATTTATCATTTTAAAATGCCTATGAATATTTACAATTCAGTCTGTTTGGACTAAATTAAGTTTATTTCATATTTTATGCAACCAACTATTATACAGGTACTGCCATGAAGGTAATAAACACAGATAAATACAAACTGCCCAATATTTCACCACAAGATTTTAAATAAAAATACCAAACTCTCAGGACACGCTAATATTAAATGATTTATTGATACATAAAACGTGCAAACAACTCCTTGTAGCTTAGTATTGTACATGAAATTATTTTGTGTCCTCCTTTCAGCCACTTTTATCCAGATTCTCACTCAACAGAGATGAAAAATTAAAGAAGGAATTAACAGCAAAAGAAATATTCAATTTTAACTCAAAATGACAAACAGAGAGAACAATCTCAAATTCATGGGCCACACACAAAACAAAATTGGTGCACATTTCAACATTACCCCTATTGGTGGTTGTTTTAAAATGTTTTTTTGTGTGAACATCTGACTTACATTTTTAATTTGAGAAAACAAAAGCTAAGCTCATTCCATGATTAAAATAATAATAATGAATAGACACCCACATTTATAAAATACATCTGCACATACCATACACAAATGTATTCCATACAGGTCCATAATAATTGTCCAAAAGCTAACCTGTGGTGTGATTAATCCTTTTTAATAAAATTATTCAAAATAAATCATTTTAAAGTAGTCTTGCTTAATAAGAATGTCTCATATTTATTGCAAGACCTCTGTGGACTAAGCCAAATAATGCCAAGTGACAGCAAACTTTTATTCAAATATGGGGATCCAGCCAACATGACAAACTGTTTTAAATACTGCATCACACTTCTCATCAACTGTCATCACTCTGACACCACCTTCACAGAACATTTACTTCGAAGTTCTTATGAACAATCACCCTATACAAACATGCCACATTTTTTTTAAGTTGATGTTCTATTTCTAGCACTAGCACATCTTAATAATAAATACCAGAAACTCTTAATTTTTAAATTTATTTTTAAACTCATTATGCCAAAGGTAAAGATTAAAAATAATCATTGTATCCTGCATCATAATTTATAGCTGTTCAGGGACCCTTACATGAATTAAAATATAGCCTTTCTAATTTAATAACTTACTCGATTTCAATGTGTTATCAAGAGATGCTGACTATATTGTGATATTTTCAAAAGATGCTGACTATAATATTTTCATGAGATGCTGACTTTATTGCAATATTTTCTGTTTATAAAAATTAAAGCCACTTCCTGAAAAATATTTCCTATTTACAAGATCTTGGAAAAAAACAAAAAAATATTCACTGTACAATAATTTTTTGCAATGCTGAAAACTTTTTTTATGTGAAAAAATATTGAAATTTGAAAATTGAATATTATTAGTTTTCACTTATTATTATTAGTTTTCATGAGTTTTGCTTCTACCTAAGACATACAGGAGTGTCAAAATTAAATGATTATTATTAAAAGGAAATCATATGCACTTTTATAAAACCAGTGCAAATAACTTTCATTATATAATAGAAAGGTGACAATAATATCTGTTCAAATAACACACAAACCCTACCAGCATGGGGGAAAGGATTAAGTTTCATTAACACAAAAATCTGAAATGGATGGAAGGCCTAAAAAGCGCTAGGAAAAAAAAAAATAAGATTATGGTAACGTGAAATGCCACAGTGGCCCAAGAAGTTGGTAAATGCTAGTCTTCTAGTCAGATGTTCACTTTTCTGCTAAAAATTTCAGATATCTGAAAAATACATTGGAAATCCATTTAAACAGAGTAGACAATATATTTTTATAGTTTATAAAATCTTTTTTGAAATGTGGTTGAAGTATGTAATAAATATTCTTAAGAACCTCTTAAGTCATTGACCCTTGTATTTTTAAAGATACATTTTTTGCATTACAATTTTACCTTGAAATTTACAGAAAAGAGACTATATCACTGTCTAAAATGTTGTTCCCTCCGCTGGCTGTCCTAGACGATTCTCCTTCAACATCATCATTTCTCGTATGTGTTGTAACAATGACTTTATACTACAGTTTTTGTGAGACCATAAGCTGTCTACTTTTCGAGGATCTACCTAAATTTAAAAACAAAAATAAAGTACAAAACTTAGTTATTTCTAAACTGAGAATGCTGTTAATATATTAAGGATTAACTAAACATTAGAAAGGGATATTTAAAAATTCTACAAAAGTATGGGTTATTTTCCATTTAAAAATTGAGCTGCTGTTCATAGTAAAAACTTTTTCCAAAATTTAAAGTGCTACACTAAAAGAACTTACAACTCCATTTTCCTTGTTGACACAGGTCATATTGATCCGAGTGATGAAACGAACTTCAGGTGGCTTATGGGGGTAGCTTTCACCACATTTCACTCGCAGTTGATACATTCTGTTCTCAAAACTTGTCTGCAGAAAGAAGCATTTTAAAGTAAATTATAATGTTAAGGATGTAATCCAAATGAACTCAAAAGAACTTTTAAAAGTAACCCAACAAGTTAATACAAATCTCTGTAATTCTCTAAACAGTCCGGTTTTCCAAATTTTTTTGTCCACTAAAAACGTAATAAATTTTGACACACACATCCTAATCAAAACATTAGTGGCGGACAACTGTTTAGGGTCTGCAAACTAAAATTCACTGATCAAATCCACCTCAAGGTCTCTCTCTTCTCTCTTATCAAACCATGTGAGCTAAGAATGGACATTACATTTTAAAATTTCCAATAGGCAACTTGTGAAGCCTCCGCTATGGTTCCATATATATGTGTATATGTATATATATGTGTATGTGTATATATGTATATGTAAAGATATATATGTATGTATATATATGTGTGTGTGTACCCGGTATACATATATATATATATAATATGTATACATATATATATACATGCCTACACATACAGCAGTGCTTCCACTTATAAACCAGTCCTAATTCCCTCCACGAAAAAAATGGACTCTCCTTTTACATCTATGCTATATCTAGACTACAATTTGAAACACCACTCCCATGGTGAAATTTTTCACTTGTACTTACGCCTGTTCAACATGTTGGCATGATAAAATAATAAAAGGTTAAATATCACATTGTGATCTTACCAAAATCTATTGTGTGTTAACCAATTTCTTATGTTTTTGTGTGCAGACCATTTTTTATCCCCTGTCCATTCTCTTCGAATCATTAAATTTGCTACACACTGTGACATACTCCCACACCAACATAAAACCATGTCTTTCTAATAAGTTTTCAATGTGATCCCTTTACTTCATTTAAATGACAGGAAGAAGAAATGAAGATTAATTTGCTATCTTAATTAAGATTAACTGCAAAATATAGTTGCTGAGAGGGAAAATGAATAATAAGTTTTAATTTTAACAATTACTGAATATGAATGAACATAGGGGGGTTTGGGTTAAACAATCCTTTGTACTGAGGCAACATGCATATCAATTACATTTGAAGTGGGATCATTAAGCCCTCTTTTAGACAGGTTTGTAATTAAGGTGTTAACAATCAACAGAGTAGTATTTACCTGTAAACTGATTGATTTAAATATAATAAAACTATACCTTTGGTGGTCCAATGATAACACACTGCCAATCTGTCATGGTCATATCCCCATCGTCAACAAGCCCCCAGCTAATAGTTCCATCTCCAACTCCTTTTTGACCAGCTTCCAGTTCATCCAAAAGTGTAAAGTTTCTTGGAACCACTGCCATTGAAACAAGATAATAAATTTTCTTGCTTCATAATCAGGCAAAAAATTATGAAGAGAATGTCATAAAATTCATTTTAATATATTCTACTAAAACAATTTTACTGCAAAATTAAAGAAGTCTTATTATTTGCTTTCAAATATTAAGCAATAATTATTAAATTTCAGCTTACAAACTCATAATTTTTAATGAACAATAAAATAATATGTATATAATTTAATTTTATATCTTAATAAGTTGAATGCTATCGAAAAAAGACAAGCAAGTTTCAAAATAAATTGCAAATTTTAATTTTTTTCAAAATAAAATAAAAATAATACTTTATCAGAATTAATACGACTATTTTACTATTTTATACAGAATTGATCTTTTAATTAAAATATAAATCACAAGCAAATAGCAACTTTTCAGTTTTGATGGGAGCAGTTTATGACATACATGGTTTTGATACATTAGTTCACTTTTATGCTACTGGAAAAGGGAAAAAAAATATAAGAAGAAACACTGCCAAAAAATAAAGCCTGAAACAAACCATACATAAATTAACTCTCTCTGTACTATTGCAATGTTAGCTGCTAGAATGCATTTCAATTGAACTATTTGGGATTGAATTTAAGGTGCCATCATTTCCTATTGTCTGTTATATACAGTTGATGAAATAAAAAGCCATTTAAGAGGAATTCAGTGACTAGAAAGTAGAAAAGTTAAAGATGACTAATAAAATAGTTATTTCTGAGAGGAAAAATTGCCTCTGAAAGATTATTTAATTAGGACAATAACCATTCTCATTTTAAATATGGCTATATGATAGCTATTTAATATATTATGTAAAAATCCCAAAAAGGTGAAATGTATAGTACAACTTATGTTATACAGCTAACCTGAGGGCTGCATGCAGCCTGCCACACCAAATATTACAGACATGGGATGCCTGATTTATCACTAATAAACTTATTTAATCTTCATTCAGTTGACAAAGAAATTGATTTGTTTGAGCTATCACCCTTACTTTAGGGGTCATCCATAAAAGACGTCCACACAAAAGGGGGGAGGGGGGGTTCAGCAAAAAGTGGACTACAGTGGACAAGGGGGGGG